AGACAACAATGCGGACACTAAGAGAGACTTACATAAATCTAATCTACGTGAGAAGTAGAAAGTAGAAAAAGACAAGCTCTCCTGAGTAAATTGGGAGCAAGGGAACCTTGTGGGAGGATTGAAGGGGGGAGGGAAGAGACAGGGAGGGGAGCAGAGAAAAATGTAGAGCTCAATAAATATCAATAAAAAAGTATAAAGAAAAAGAAATTGCTTTTTGGTGTAGGGGTTAGAGAGACAGCTCAGTGGTTAAGAGCACTGGCTCAGAGGACCTGAGTTTAATTTCCAGCAACTCATAATCATCTATAGTGAGATCTGATGCCTTCTTCTGGCATGCAGACACACCTGTAGAGCACTCATACATAAAATATAAATAAAAATTATTAAAAAATTTTGTTTGGGTTGCTGATTTGATTTTAATTTTTTAAGAATCATTAAACGAATTGGCTTGGGATTAGGACAGATTTACAGCAATTTCTGAAGCAGCTATAAACATAGTCCTGACATTTCAAGTTACACACTTATTTAGTCTTCTCACTAGTGATGATTGTAAAATAAAATCTATCAACTCAGGAAAACTTGAAGATACCCTATGTACCCTATGTCCTGCAGTATCAAGTATTCAACCATGATGTGGTGCGTGTGTGTGCTCATGTGCATGGGCGTATGAGGTGGCTGAGAGGACAAAGGTTGATGCTAGACTGTCTTCTTCAAATGTTTCTCCAGCTTAATATTTGAGACAAGGTCTCTCACTGAACCTGGAGCTTACCTTTTTGGCTAGACTTGCTGACCTGGCCAATAAGCCCTAAGATCTACCTGTCTCTGCCTCCTATCACTAAGATTACAAGCGTGTGCTGCCATGTTCATCTTTTCATGTGAGTGCTGGGGGTTCAAACTCAGGTTGGTCCTCATGCTTGTGCAGGAAGTACTTTGCTCACGGAACCATCTTCCCAGTGACTTCATTCTTCATGTAAAAATAAGCAAGCTGTCCATTTCAGTAGTATGCAAATTGTTTTCATGTTTCAAATACATATTTTGATATGTTGTACATATAATTACCTTAAGTTTCTTCATGACGTATTATCATTAAATGTTTATTTTATACACCTATGTACCCAGAGTTCCTTCTTGGATGAAAAGAGGTTGTGAGTGGAAAATGCTTCCTGCTCTAGGCTAACACTCATGAAGGAGTAAGGGGAACCAGCAGGGCAAGGAAGAAGCTAGGAATATGTATGTTTCATTTAGGGACTGCCAAGTTTTGGTCTTCATACTAATTCTGTACTTGTGTAAAGAAAGTTTTATTGAAACACAGTTTTCTTGGGACAAGCCACACTTACTTCATTATGTGTAGTGGAATAGTTCTGTACACTATGTGAAGATGTGTCATTATGATTGGTATTAATTAAAAGCTAAATGGCCAATAGTTGGGCAGGAGGTTTATCAGGGACTTCTGGACAGAGAGAGCACTGGGAAGAAGAAAAGAAGTGTCACCAGTCAGACTCAGAGAAAGGAAGATGCACAAAATGGAGATAATGACTGTATGGAAGAATGTAGATTTAAAAATGTGGGTTAATTTAAGTTATAAGAGCTAATAGGCTTTTTCCATGGTAAGTGGTATACTTGTTGACTCTGCTCTCCAACAACAGTCTAGGCATGTAGGTCAAAGATGGATGCCCCAATACTGCAGAGGAACCTTGGGGTTACTGTCCAGGCAGCCAGATGTCTCTGTCATTTCTACGGTTCTGGAAGTTGTTTGCTTTGCACTTCCTGTTTACTCAAGTAATAATTTATCCTTCTTGGGTCTCTGGTAGAGATTGAAGACTATGTAGTTATGTTTCCTTGTTACCAAATTCAGATAAGAAACTTATAAGAGAGATGTAAAGTTTATAAGGCTGAGAAACATAAAACCTTAAGTTGTTTATCTGAAAAGATATTTTTAGAATGGTAATACAAGTTATGACAAAAATGGTTTATGTCTACAACTTTGGACTAAGATAGGATAGATAATGGAATATTTTTTCTAAATTTGCCAAAATACAAATGGACTGGATATTGTAAATGTAATTCTTACCTGATATTTGTTTTTATTGTATATTGTCTTATTGTGTTAGAGTTAAAAACTTTTCTTTTTTAGACAAAAGGGGGAAATGTTGTGGAACATTCCTTTACACTGAATGAAGATATGTCATTGTGACTCGTCTAATAAAAAATTAACTGGTCAATAGCTAGGCAGGAATTATATCAGGTACTTCTGGACAGAGAGAGCTCTGGGAAGAAGAAAGGCAGAATCACCAGCTAGATGGAGAGGAAGCAGGATGGGAAGTACAGAGTAAAGGTAACCGAGCCATGTAAAAGAACGCAGATTAAAGATATGGGTTCATTTAAGTTATAAGAACTAGTTAGGAACAAGCCTAAGCCAAGGCTGAGCTTTCATAATTAATAAGTCTCCATGCCATTTTTTTTGTGAGCTGGCGACCCTAAGAAAAATCAGACTACAATTATGTATTATCTGTTTCTGTGCTATGTAGTCAGAGCGCAGTTGTTTGTGCCACACCAAGTCTTGCCCTCTACACAATCTACCTTGACCTCATTCTCTGCTGAGCTGTCAGCTAGGAAAGGCGGCACAGAGAGCCAGGCATAGCCAGAGGGCAAGGTGCCTAGCTGACTCAGGACTGCACTAGGAGGGGAATTACTCCTGACGTTCAGAACAAGTTCAGGCTGGGATTAGAAGCCCCAGAGTTGTCATTTTGAAGATGATTTTAGATGGAGACTTTTTGAGTGAGCCCTTTATCAGGTCAGCATTCAGGTCAAGAAGAGAATCTATGGAGATCCAGAAGGAGAGGCCTATAAAATGAGAAAAAAAATTTGAATGTGGTTTCCTAGAAGCCAAGGGAAGAACATTTTAGGGAGGGATGACCAGCTGGGCCATACAGCATTACAGAAAATGTCAGGTTAGGGGGCTGGTTTTTGGGACACACTATGGCTGAACACAGAAGCTTATAGGAAGACTGGGTCTAAGGTTAGGGAAACAAGCTGTCTGGGTATGTGTGCACACCCCTCACTGCACACACGTGCATCCACACCATGCACACATTGTCTTCCTTTGGGGCCTGAGAACAGATGAGATTAGAATCTGCATTCAGGGACTGAGAAAAGGTTTGGGAACATGAACTTGATTTTTTTGACAAAAACATTTTTGGTAGAATTACAGACCATGAACTGGGCTGGAAAGATGGGTCAGGCCTCAAAGGCTATGGCTCACAACCAAAGAATGTCAAGAGTTCAATTCACAAAGCATGAACAATGGCTGATTAGAACTCGTACAAGGAAAGGGGCAAAAAAAAAAATTCAGAGATCTGCAGTGCCAACATTTTCCACAAATTTTGCTGAGAAGTGATAAAAATGGGGGAGGGGTTAACCAAAGATGTGTGTAGACCCCCAAACCGGGGCTCTGGATTAACATGGGAGAAATTCTAACATTTTTGCACAGGGGCAATGGAAAGAGAAAACTCGTAATCCAGGAGGGATACATTCCAGACACTGGTGAGTTGACAAGTTTAGCTGGCACCTGAAGCTCTGGGGAGAGGCTGACCTCTCTCTCCAGTGCGGCCGCCTGTCCTCAGGAGGAAAGACAATGCTTGCCTACAAACCCGGAAAGCAGGTTGATAGTTCTAGTGGTTTCCATTTTCTTGGTGACCATCAGCTGGGAGACATTACGGGAAGGAGGCTGGAGAGGAGTGAAGGGGTTCCCCAGAAGGGTGGCTGGGTGAGGGATTCCTTTTTGTGCCGTTGGTAGAGGCTTCCTGGTGTTGAGCAGTTTGGGTGCGCTGGCAGGTTCAGAGAACAATGTTGGTTTGGATTTGGAAGAATCCAGAAATCCCCGAGAGCAGTCCCTAGAGAGGTCTCCTAACTGGTTTCTTGGAATTCCACCCGTTTGAGTCATTTTCCTGTAATGCTAGTGTGGGCACGGCAGACATACTTTTTCTTTAACTCTTTCAGTGAAGACAGAAAAAAGTGGTAAATTGCTTCTAAGGAAGGAAACAGGCCCAGCATAGTTCAGGGCATCCTTGTGTAGTGTTTGCGGTGGAAGGTATTAAAAACTCACATGGGTTTATGTACTTTGCAAAAGACAAAACCCCCACCTTAGAACAGTGGTTCTCAATCTATGGGTCGCGACCTCATGAGGTGTCGCCTAAGGCCGTCCATCAGAAAACAGATATTTACATTGCGGTTCCTAACAGTGGCAAATCTGCAGTTATGGAGTAGAAATGAAAATATTATGGCTGGAGGTCACCACAACATGAGGTATTAAAGGGTCGCAGCATTAAGGAAGATTGAGAAACACGGCTTTATAAGTTTCTATGGCTTTCCACCCACCCTCAGGGGAATGAAACCTTTCGTCTGTAACGCTGTGGCTGGGGCTGCCCTTCCAACCTCTCCAGCCTGCTCTGGCTCTGCTAGGCTCTTCCCGGCCTCGCCTGGAGTCTGCACACAAGCCTTTGCTTCTGCCTCATTTTCTAGTCCTATTTCCCTTCTCTGTTTCAGCTCCCTATACCACACACATGTTCACATCCCCTGGTCCCAAGCATTTCGGGAGGAGGCATTTGTAAAAATCCCGATTAACGGCTAGGAGCGGGCCCATCTTGCCTCCCTGCACTAGTCCTGGTGTGGGGTTCCTGGCTAGGGGAGGACACGCCACCGAGTGCGCGCAGCTCAGGGAACAAAGGCGCAGGGCACTCGGCTCGCGACGGGAGGAGGCGGCCACGCGGGGCGAGACCACGAGACAGCCTGGCCCGCAGCACTGGGGGAGGCGGACGGCGAGAGAGTCCACCGGCTATGGCGGGACAAGGCGAAGGCCCTCAGGGTCCTGCTTCGACGTTAGCCACACACAGGCTAGTATAAACCCGGCCGACCCGAGGTTCTCCGCTGAGGCCACATAACAAGACACAAGGGGGTGGGGGTTCGGCGGAGGGAGCCGCCCCGCGCCTGCGCACCATAGCCCCACCCACCGGGCCGCCCCTCCCCGCCCTCTGCGTGCGCACCGCCTCAGGTCCGCCTCTCCGAAAGACGGCTGGCGTGTGCGGCCCGGCCGAGCACTGGTTCCCCGATCCTCACCGTGCGCGCGTCCGCCTGCTTGTGGTTGACGTGAGACTCTGAAGCCGGCCTCAGGTAGGCTGACTTCGGGGATCCCGGAGGAACGGCTCCCGGGTGCAGGAGTCCGTGGCGCCGACCGAGCCCCGGCGCGGGCGGCCACGCCACTGGGGTGATAAACGCCTGTCCTCACCAATCAGGGGAGAGACATCCCGGCTCCTGCCCAATGGGCTGCGTCTCTAACGGGAGCGGGGCGGGCAGTCTCGGAACGCGAGGTACCGGCTCCCGCGCTTGCGGGCCGCGTGGCCCAGCTGAGGGAGAGGGGTCGAGCGGGGAGACCCGGGCAGCCGGGATCGGTGTGGTGGAAAGCGCCGAAGGCCGCCGCCGAGGGGCCTCCCCGGGCCTCAGCCTGCCACCGGTGGGGCCGGCCCGGCGGCCTGGCGAAGCCTTCCGGCCCTAGCCCGCGGGAGGAGGGGGCTTGTAGGCTTGCTGGGCCTCACGGGCCTGGCCGCCCAGCTGCTGTCGCTCTTTCCAGTCCGGGGCAAAGATGCTAGCGTTTGGAGCTGGTCTACGTCAGCGTGGCTCACTTACGGCCACGCTCGTCCTTTTGACTCCTCAGCAGCTCGGTGACGCGGCTGCTGCTGCGGGGGTTCTCGTCCCACTTTTTTATGGCGACGCAAACACAGACAGCGGGCGCCCGGGGGGGGGGGCTAGATTGAGATCTCAGCACCAGCGGGTTCTGACGGGTTCTGAGCTTATCTCCCTCCCCCCCTCCCTCCCTCCCTTCCTTTTTTCCTTTTTTTTTTTTTCATCTCTTGATCTATATTGCTTTTGTACTTGAAAACCTTTAGTGTCTTGTCATCTTCAGGAAAAAAATTCAGCGTGGACGTTCAGCTTTGCCCATCCATGGGCTGGCCCTTTGCCCAACCCATCCCTTTGCCCTCATCCTCTTTCCTTGGTGCATTCCCGGGGCTCACCTGCTTGTTCACGCGTTGCTGTTGTTTAGCTTGGTTCGGTCAGATAGCCTTTAAGGCCCATTGCAAGGCAGGCCTTCAAAACAAGAGCGCCTGGATCCTCCTGACTCCAGGTCATCCCTCCCTGTCCTCTGAAGAGCCCCAGGAGGCTACCTTGCTCCTGTCACTGAAAGATGGGCTTTCTTATTTCCCTTTAAGAGCCTCGGTGTGTTCTCTGTGCTTCCTTCCATCAAACCCTGCTACTCGTTTAATTTTAAGTGTTTTAACCAGCCTGCTAGAAAATTGAAGTATGGATCCTCATTTTTTTGAGGTGCCCCTAGCATGTGAGTAGCTCTCCCATAGTAGGTAGTTTGTAGTCTAATAGACTTCGTGAGATATGCCAGGTTAGCACATACCTAAAATATCCCCAAGTTTGGTTTGCATGTGTTGATAAGGAACCATTCAGTTATGAGGTGACAGCAAATCTCCCAAATAACAAACATTTAGTGTGAGGAAGAAACTGTGCCATATTTTGGGGTTCACAATCTGCATTAACATACTGAAAACTCCTGAAGATCATGGGTTAAAGATTAGTCAGAATTTCTTTTGATTTTTTTTTCCCCCATAAAGTAAGTCTCTTTTCCCTCTTTTGAGATAGGGTCTCCTTATGTTTGTAGAGTGTCTTCAAACTTGGGACAACCCTCCTTCCCAAGAGCACCCTTTTTTTCCCCTCAAGATAGGGTTTCTGTAGCTTTGGTGCCTGTCCTGGAACTCTTATAGATCAGGCTGGCCTCACAGAGATCCGCCTGCCTCTGCCTCCCTAGTGCTGGATTAAAGGCGTGCGCCATCACCACCCAGCTATGTGACCAGTCTTGAGACCCAAGAAACTAATGGAAAATCCAGGTCCACAGAGAGCAGACTGCAGGGATGGAAAGGGCTCCTTAATGACCCCAGAGGTGACGTGGAGCTCAGATGCTTACTTTTGGCTCATTCCTTACATTTTCCCAAATGAGATCTTTGGAGACCTGCTCTTCACCACTGTCGATAGATACATCCCCAGAAAGCAACTGGGCGGAAGGGGTCCAGCTCTTAAATTATGGCTCCTGGTGCTGGGACTAAAGGCGTGTGCCATCACCGCCCGGCTGAGTGATCCTTTACAGGCCTTTCTGGAAACCCGATTGCATTTTGCAGAAACATACTTTTGAAACATTGCAGCAGAGAATAGAAAAAGCAGGCTAACATTCCTTGCTGTTTGAGGGGAAAGATATTTCAATCATTATGATTTCCTTGCCAAGTATGTTCCTGGGAGGAGTGGGGCTGGGAAATGCTTCCAGCAAAACTTCCCTGTCCTTGTTCCTTAGCTTTAATTTGGCCTCACACAGAGCGTTTCTAGAGGGGGAAAAAGTGTCTTTTTGCTAAAGTAAGTGTTTTCCTGCTACGGGGTGACTGCATTTTCTCTTTTTGGTTAAATTTAGGTTTGCTGACCCAGTGGTCTCCCAAGCTGGGGACTGGTGATGAATCTTTTGATGTGTCACTGTCTCCTTGCTTGTTGATGCTGTTTTCCCTGGTCTCTTGATTCTGCTGATCTTGTATCTACAGTACTTGTCTCGAGTGTTTCTTTTACTACGTTATTACTATCTGGGTTTAATGTGATCTCTATTTGCCTCCTCCTCTGTTCAGTATGGGCTTTGGACTGGATTATTTCATAAGTTCCATTTCCTTCAGCCTGTATCATCTCTTTAGGGCATACCTGGGAGAGATTGCTGTCAAGAAACATTTGTTAAACTACAGATGAGAACTACATGTAATTGAAAGAACTGGAGGTTTTGTATGACTTCTTTTAAACACTTAACAGTTCTTTCCTGTTGGTCAGTCTTCTAGAACTTAGCGGAGCTTTGTTCTTTGTGTGTTTAGCCAAACACATTTTTTTCAAGGAGAATTGGAATGCTCTTTCAAGATTGTGACTTTTTCTCTCACATAGGGGAAATTTTGAGACATTTGCCTGGTACTCAGTGTCTGGCAATGATACTGGCTAACTGGCTGTGAAGGTTTATTTGTAAGATGTATATATAAAAATCTGTGTGTACTTATATGTAAATTTCCCTTCTAGGTTAAAAGGGAAAATGAAGTACATTCTGGTTACTGGTGGTGTTATATCAGGAATTGGAAAAGGAGTCATTGCCAGTAGTGTGGGCACAATACTCAAGTCATGTGGCTTACATGTAACATCAATTAAAATTGACCCCTACATTAACATTGATGCAGGAACATTCTCTCCTTATGAACATGGTAAGCGAACTGCAATTTTCTCTTCTAAATAGTAGCTGTGTCTATGTAAGAACATGCTAGCTCTTGGGGATTAGGTGTACATCTTGCATAATTTCCATTTCCTGCCTTCTAGAATGATCCTTAGTGTAACAGAATGATGATTTTTCTCTCAAAATAAAAGGAAGCAGCTATCTTAATAGATAACTTCTTTTCTATAATAGATGTGAAATGTGGGTGGCAGGTGGGTGTGGTGGCAGCGAAATGAAAGTTTTTCATGTCATTTAAAAGAAGACAAAATATGCTGTTTGTGGCCCTGAGTGCTGGGATTAAAGGTGTGCGTTACCACTGCCTGGCTGGAGGAGCAGTTTTAAAACCTACCTTAAAAGCTGAGTCTGGTGGCATAGGACTGTAGTAGTAGTCCTAGTACTTAAGGAGGCCGAGACAGGATTGCAAGTCTGAGGCCAGCATGGACTAACTACATAGTGAGCTCAAGGCCAACCTGGGCTACTTGTTCAAGGCTAGTTAGGATTATATAGCAAGACCCTGTGAAAACAGTGAAACTCATTAAGACCCTGTGCCTTCAAGTTTTAAAGTTCTTTACTTTTGCTTTTTAGTGTTGAAATAAGAATCTGGAGGATATATACTGCCGTTTTAACAAGTAGCATCAGAGGATCCATATACTAGAGGAATTTTATTGTTCTCTCAGTTCTAGAGGATTGAACCGAGGGCTTTGTGTGCTAGCATTGCCCATCCACCTTTGAAGGGATTTTAATAAAAACTTCTTGAGCAGAGGTTGGGTTCTCTGAAGGGTGATATAAGACGGTTTTCCTGTTTTTGAGCTTGTTCCCTGTGTAGATGGTGGGAATGAGTCATTCTAGGCAGCATTTCCATCATGAAGTTGCAAAGAATAAATGTGAAACAAAGGAATGGGGCAACTAGGACTATTAATAACTGCCCAGAGCTAACGTGTGCTCCAAAGCTGGCTTTAAAGTCAATACACCCTTCCTTTGTTTATGTCATAGAAATTTCTAATAGTCCTGCTTCTTTTCTTGAACGTTTGCTGCTTGGGTAGGTCTTTTGCTCAAGATCCTGCCTTACTGCAGCGTCTCTTTACCACAGTCTTCATGACTGGGCTTTCCCCCATTCCATGCTTCCCAGTAGTGAGTGAGTTCAGGTTGGAAGCACTCTTTTGGAGAGTAATTGGCAGTTGTCTTCAGACATTTAGTTTTCTAGAAATAATGTCCTTGTTTTGTAATCTGGTTGTGCAGACTTTGTTCCATCTGAATGTTTATATTTCAAGGTTGAAATTGCACATGGCAAATGTGTTTTTCATTTCCTTGAACATGTTCACTCTTCACTGAAGGAGAAGTTTTTGTGCTGGATGATGGTGGAGAAGTTGACCTTGACTTGGGAAATTATGAGCGGTTCCTGGATATCCGCCTCACCAAGGACAATAATCTGACCACGGGGAAGATATACCAGTATGTCATTAACAAAGAGCGCAAAGGAGATTACCTGGGGAAGACTGTCCAAGGTAAGACTGGATTTTTCTTTAAGAAAGAAACTATTAGCCAATTTAATTTCTTTTGAGTATAAAAATTTATTTTTATGTGATTTTAGTATTTTGTCAAGGTATTATTACCAAAATATCCTTTCGGTTGGATATTCAGAATTGTATGGCTGTTCCCTCAGAAAATCCTTGGAGAAAGCTGCTATTGGCTCTAGTAATGGCATAGGTGTTGTCAGTCATTATGGCGACATGGTTGGATTCCGGAGAGCTGCTGCTTTTACATGCTAAGCAGTGAAGGAAGCTTAACGGAGGCATTATGCTTGGTGGCTTGTGTAAGTGAGGGGAAATGAACTTCCATTGCTTATGTTGGGAAACACACATGTGACACAGGCTTTTCATGTGATGGAAGTCTGAGATGTGGGCTCCTGGGCCCTCTGGAGTTTTCACCAGCTCAGCTGACATCTGTTGGCTGTTCTGAGATTTTCTGTAAGTAGTCATTTAGGAAAAGTGCTCCCTGCTTTGAAACGGTGGCACTGGGACTCCATTGGTCTAGTGGGATGACAGTATGCGAGTTTGGGCCATTGCTTTCCTCTGAGTAGAAGAGCAGTTTGCTACACTGAGAACCAAGGTTCAGCCTGACTCTGGTCTGGGGCTGCCTTGGCCAGAGTCTGGTCCAATCATTTCATAATTTGGGGCTTAGCTCTGTTACATACTAGCCCTATAAACACAGGAAGGAAAATTCTGTACCCTTTTGAGATGTGGTTTCCTTTTGTGTAAAATGGAGGTGGTAAAGGCTTCTGCTTTTTGAGTTGATAAAGAGTTAAAAGACTGCATCAGGATGCTGCTGCTCCACCTTCCTGGTACATAGAGAGGGTCTGTTGTGAATTAAGGTCATGTTGGTTGTGCAGTTTGTTCTGGTGTACTTGTTCCTTTATTTGTCATCATGAAATGTGACTCACTAAGGGTCAGACCATTAGTGGTACACAGGTACACAGGCCCCAGACTACAGGAATCTGGGCAAGAACTAGAAGGGAAACTGCTGTGGTTGAGACATTACAGTCTGGGACAGCAGCGCTGTCACCCAGTGGATGTTATGTGAGGCTTTCACTGATTACTAAGGAGTTTAAATGTGGAGTAATGAATTCTGATTAGTGTTTGTAGATCACTTGGCTGCTCTGTGTGACGTAGGTAATGGATATCTATGCAAGAGCACTGTTTAACCCCAGATCATTCCAGTCACCTGGGAATTGCATTCTTGACTCCAACAACTGTGATTCTAAAAAGTGTCCCACAGTAGCTGGTTATTACTGAATCCTGGATGTTCTGCTATCTTCTAAGACATTCTCAGAAGTAGACGTAATTACTTCTACTTGAAGACTCCAAGCTTAAAGATAAAGAGATAATTGACTCACAGTACAGCTGGTGAGTCGTGAACTGAGATTTGACCTTAGGTGCCGTGCCTTTCACAGCTTTGCTGTGTTGTTATGTCTCTTGCAATGGATTGCCTACCCTTTGGTTAAACTGGAAACATGGCACAGGGTTCTGGTAGTATGTTTGCTCCTGGAAAAACGCTCAGGTGTGGTGCACCCACTGCTGCTTCAGCTGAGAGCGGTAGGGGTGGTCACAGGTTTTGTGTCCTGTGTAGTAGAAGAGTAGACTGCACAGGCCATGTGTTTGGATCTGCTTAGGGAGCCACTTTTGGCTTCATTCTTTTCACATAGCTTCCAGCAACAGTCTAGAAGTCTGGAAAGGAGGCCTAGAGAAGTGTAAACACAAAGATTTATTGAGTCATTTAAGGGCACTTCAAAAATATTATGATCCTATTGCTTGTTTAGGAAGAACTTTTCCTAAGTACACCCATACCCCATTGCTTGTATATCTAGACAAGAAAATATATCAGTTTGTCTTAACAGTCAATGTATTTGCCTTCATAAATGCTGATTGATAGGCAAGCATAAGTTACAGGTTTCTTTTCTTTTCTTAGTTGTCCCTCACATCACAGATGCAGTCCAGGAGTGGGTGATGAGACAGGCATTAATACCTGTAGATGAAGATGGCTTGGAACCTCAAGTGTGTGTTATTGAGGTTTGTATGATTCTTGCCTGTGTGAACTAGTTCAGTCATTCCTTTCCTTAGCCATCAATAGGACCATGCCCAGTGAAAACCCAGCCTTCCATTTCTGTGCATGCAGTGTGCAGCAACAGATAGAATGGTGCACAGGGGAGACAATATTTTTTCCTAACAGTGTTCTCTTTTAGTGTGTGTTGGACAGTCTAACACATACTCAGAGTGACAGGACACATTTTTGTCACTTCTGCTTGCTAGCTTCCTTTGCTTTGTTTCTATTCTACTGTCTGTTCATCCCAGCTCAGGAAGTCCCAGCAGTTTTGTTATAACTGGTGGTTTTTAGTAGAAAGGTTATACTTAACTAAGGAGACTCATCTAGGTTTCTTTCTTTCTTTCTTTCTTTCTTTCTTTCTTTCTTTCTTTCTCTCATTCATTCATTCATTCATTCATTCATTCTCTGTGGTTCTCAAGTGAATCAACAATGCCTAAGAATTATAGTCTAGTTTCTGGTTCCCTCCCTCCCTCCCTCCCTCCCTCCCTCCCTCCCTCTCTCCCTCCCTCTTCCTCCTCCTTTTTTTTTTTGAGACAGGGTTTCTCTGTATAGCCCCGGCTGTCCTTGGAACTTGCTCTGTAGATCAGGCTAGCCTCAAACTCAGAGATTGGTTTGTTTCTGCCCCCCAAGTGCTGGTATTAAAGGTGTGTGTCACCACTACCTGATTCCAGGTACCTTTCAAGCCCAGTCATTTTCTTAAAATGCTGTGACGATATCTTCAATATTTTTAGGGAAATCAGGAGTTCCTAATAGTATCAACTTTGAGCACAAAGCAGTATCTGAAGACTGACATTCTGTAAGGCTAGGAGTTTGTAGTTACACTGCAATCTGGGCACTGAAATGATAGAAATTCAATGTTAACCTCTGAGATGGTGTTTCTTTTCAGCTTGGTGGCACAGTGGGAGACATTGAAAGCATGCCTTTCATTGAGGCCTTCCGCCAGTTCCAGTTCAAGGTCAAGAAGGAGAACTTTTGTAATATCCACGTCAGTCTGGTTCCTCAGGTGAGGTATACAGTTTGGTTCTAAGCTTTCAACACTGGAGGTACAAGAAATAGGAAATAAAGAACTTCTGTGAGTTTATTACAATCACATGCTTTATTTATTTGATGTATGTAGCTGAGTCTTCTTGTTAGTCCGTGTTCTGAAAGATTAAATGGAAAAGGTTTGAAAAATGAATCAGGATTCATTGTAATAAAGGTGGTAGATTGAACATGTATGCTTGTCTTTGCTCTCTGTCAAAATCAGAATGAAGTACTTTTTTTAAGACAGAAATTCAGAAAAGAGCGTGGAGATGAGTTGGCAGTAATAAAAGTAAGGGATTTACAAAGCACACTGACACATAAAAACTGACTGAGCAGTCTTGGGTGTGCACCTGCAGCAGGGGTGCTGAGAAGCTATCCTTCCAGAGGCTCATGATAGGCAGTGTCAGGCTCTTCTGGGAGTAGGATGAGTATAGGGCTCACTGCAAAGACTGCTCATACCTGTTTGCTTTTGTGCCCAGTCAGGCATCTGCGTCTCTTTTTCTATAAGATAGCCCTGGGGAGAGTGTCTGACAAGCAGACACTATGTTGAGAGCAGTGATGCTGAACCATAAACATGCCATGTTGCCGAGATGCTTACTGTCTTGTACCTGCTGGTTCTCAGAGTCTTCAGAGCCAGGCTGGGCCCCTCCACATGGGAAGTCTGAGACTTCTATTATGTGCGACTAGCCTAGGAGAAGACACTGCTCCTAAGGCTCCCCAGTCACCAGCCTATCTTTTATAGGGAACTTCTAGTTTGCTTTTAGATAGGAGTCAGCAGCCAGTAACTGCATGTGTTCAGCAGGAACTGGATGCCACATGACAGGAACACAGATGAGAATTGAAGCTAAGAATTAGATAAAACAGAGATGACAGTAAGAAGGAGGGAAGCTGAAGAAAAACCCAGAAGTAGAACAGAGACAGAAAATAGGAGAGAGGAGGTAAGAAAGAGAGGATTGGTCCAGATCTGTTATATATAGCAGGGTATCCTGTAAAGAAATAAGGGAACTGGAGGACCAAGAAGGCCAAGTCTGATGAAGCAGGACTTGGCTGATACACTCCTCCTAGACAAATGGGTGAAGAAAGCAGCCCTCACTGGAGAAAACCACAAGGTTGACTGTACGACCCAACATTTTCCAGCACTATCTTTGCTATTCTTTTTTAATTATATATCAATTGAAGAGAGAAAAAAAAAGAAATGAAGAGGAAAATGTAGTTTGAATCACAGGTTGTATTTGGGGGCCAAGGGCTATTGATTGGCTCTTTTTTTTTTAGGTTTATTTACTTATTATGTAGAATGTGCTGTGTCTACATGTTTGCTTACATGCCAGAAGAGGTCATCGGATCTCATTACAGATGGTTATGAGCCATCATGTGGTTCCTGGGAATTGAACTCAAGACTTGGAAGAGCTGTCAGTGCTCTTAACCTTTGAGCCATTTCTCTAGCCCCTGATGGGCTATTTTTTTTTTTTTAAGAAGGCTTGTTTTATGGAAATAGATCTATATTCCTTGGTTGATGTGTCATCTGTGACTGCTTTTATACTGAAACAAAGTTGAATCTGTATGACAAACTATGGTCCACAAAGCTCAAAATAATAGCAGTAGTAATAGTAATGGGCTTTGAGATGGATAATATGCCATGATGTAGCTCAGAGAGGCTTGGACTCACTGTAGTCTAGACTGTTGGCCTTGAACAGCCTGCTAAGTGTTCAAGTAAAGGGCATGAGCCATGCCGTAAGACTAAACCCTAAAGTAGTTATTATCTGGCTCTTTACAGAGTTTACTGGCCTCTGATCTGAACAAGAAAACTTTTTAAGACCCAGTTTCTAGATTGGAAGAGCCCATTGTGTGCTTACTGTATTGATTCTAAAATGGCCAGACTAAAGTTCATAGTGATGAGTGTAGCTACAGATATTCCCCGCCTGCTGGGCCCCCTGGACCAGGTTTTCTCTGTCCGCCTGTTCCTGAAGCTGCTTATAAATTATAAACCTCTCTGTCTAGGTTGTGGCGGTGCACACCTTTTTCCCAGCACTCGGGAGGCAGGGGCAGGCGGATCTTTCTGAGTTTGAGACCAACCTGGTCTATAAGAGCTAGTTCCAGGACAGGCTCCAAAGCTACAGAGAAACCCTGTCTCGAATAAAACCAAAAAACAAAATAAAAACAAACAAACAAAACCTTTGAGGCTTAATATTTATTACATACTCTTTGGCGTATTAGCTCAGGCTTTTTATTAACTAATTCTTATATCTTAAATTAACTCATTTTTATTTTATATTTTATTACAAGGCTTGTGGTTTGTTTTTTAGGTGGCTACATGGCGTCTGCCTGCCTCTACCTTCTTTCTCCCTGCATTCAGTTTAGTTTTCTCGCCTAGCTATATTCTGCCTTGCCATAGGCCAAAGCAGCTTCTTTATTAATCAATAGTAATAGAACATATTCACAACATACAGATGGAATCCCTTATCAGTGAGAGTATAGAATAATGAAGTAGAAGACCTCAAAGGCCCTACGCAAACGGCATTAAACATTCTTGAGGCAATGTTTCTTCTCAACCTGCCTAATGGCTGTAGCCCTTTAATACAGTTCCTTAGGTTGACCTAAGGTGGTGGTGACCTCCAACTATAAAGTAATTTTCATTGTTACTTCATAACTGTGATTTTGTTGTTGTTACGATTTGTAGTAGAAATAGCTGTTTTCCAATGGTCTTAGGTGACTGTTGTGAAAAAGTCATATGATTCCACCAAGGGGTCACAGTCCACAGGTTGAGAACCATCATTCTAAGGGAAGGTTCTTTTCAACTGAGAACTCTAAACCTAGCAGATCTGTCTTAAGTGTGGGAAGAGAATAAAAATACTTTATTATAGACAAAGTATGGCGCATGGCCTACCTGAATACTTTATGTACACAAGAGTGTACACAGCTGAAATGGCGTCATGGGTCAGGAGGGAGAGAGCTCAGTAGAGCATGCCGTAGACAAGCTGAGCTGCAGCAGAAAAGCAGGACAGTAGTTTGGGAGTTGACATGGACTAGGGGCTGTCTTCAGTGTCGGCCAAGCTCTGGTTCAGTTCTGCCCCAAATACAGATATGGAAAAAAAACCATTATTTGTAGGATTTGGAGAGTGGCAGGGCAAGACCGTGCAATATTGTCTGTGAAGCCAAGCCCCATAGAACCATTTAACCCTAAAGTATATGCATGTGTAACTTCAATAAAAATCAAGGCTGACAGAGGTTCAGAGAAAAGTCCTGCTTGGAAAGCTGTCAGAGAAATGAACCACTTGTTTTTTTTATTTTGTAAAACAGCCAAGTTCAACAGGGGAACAGAAGACAAAACCTACCCAAAACAGTGTTCGGGAGCTTAGAGGACTTGGGCTTTCTCCAGATTTGGTAAGGTTTCCTTCAGTGCCTGCTTTTGGTGTTATTGACCACATCTAATTAAAATCTAGCTTCTCGCTGAGAGGCAGGTGGATCTCTGTGTGCTCAAGGTCAGCCTGGTCTACAGAGTGAGTTCCAGGACAGGCTCCAAAGCTACAGAGAAACCCTGTCTTGCGCCCCCCCCCCCCCAATCTTGGCCTCTGGTGTGATAGATGTTTGTCAGCAGATGTCTAATTGTGGAGAAAACAGGGCTTTGACTGGGATTGGAGTCTGATTTTCTTGCAGGCACATAGGAAGGCTTATACTTCTTCTTGTGTCTTGCTTCTCGCAGTCCTTCACTCCTCCTAAGAACATTGAGGAGGAGGAGAACCAGTTAGCTCTTGTAGTTCACTCTTTCCCCCTTGCTGTCTCTCATGCTCTGCTTGGGATGTAGGAGTTGTGGTTTTGAAAACTAGATAGTGGTGTGTTTGTGGATCATGTGCAGTGTGCTTGGAGCTGACATTTTGGTCCATCTCAGAACATTACCGCTATTTTAATTCCAGTTGCGGAAAGCCCTACTTAGACTCTTCCTTCTGCTCCAAGTTCCTTGTTTTCTTAATTACTAGGTGGTGTGCAGATGCTCAAATCCTCTTGACACATCCGTGAAAGAGAAAATATCTATGTTCTGCCATGTGGAACCTGAACAAGTAAGTACTTTTCACTTCCGGAAATGACTTTACTTCTTGGGGTAAAGGCTATCTGGGGCTGGAGTCATGTTCCTTGTGTGACTCTTAAGCCAGGGACTCCTCAGGTTCTGCTTCACGCTCAACCCATGGAACACAGGATGATTTTCATTTTTTCACAGTGATCCTTTATTGTGTACTTTATTTCAGGTACTTCTGTCTTCATAAGTGAAGAAGGGGGAGATTTCTTTTCTTTTTTTTTTTTTTGGTTTTTCGAGACAGGGTTTCTCTGTGGTTTTGTAGCCTGTCCTGGAACTAGCTCTTGTAGACCAGCAGAATTGATTCTCATAAGAATTCCTCTCTGGGCATGGCAGTGCACTGTTTGAATCCCAATATTAAGGAGGCTGAAACAGGTATCTCTGAGTTTGAGGCCAGCCTAGTCTACATGGCTAGTTCTAGGACAGCCAGGACTTCTTGTTTCAAAAGAACAAAAACAAAAAAAAAAAGCTGTGAAAACTCTTTACTGTTACTCACTGAGGAGTAGTCGACATTTATTTCAGATTTGAATTGCAGGTCTTCTGCCTATTTTAAACATTGGATTGTTTATATCAAGCTATAAGAAGTTAGTCTGAATGTAGTCTTTCGTCAGGTATGCAGTGTTTTTTCAGCCTGTGGCTTGCTTTTTATGCTCTTAGTGGAGCATAGAAACTTAGAAATGTTCGATGTTTTCTGAGTTGTGCTGCTTTCTCTGCTTAATGATGGTCATGAAAATTTTCCTCAATTTTCTCAAGTTTTATATCATACCAGACCCATTTTGAGTCAGCGTTTGTGTACAGTGTGAGGTAAGTAGTGACAGATTATCTTTTTGTGTATGAATAGTCAGGTATCCAGCCCTATTGCTAAAATCAGTTTTTGTATAGTATGTAAGATTTGCTTCATAAATCTTAGATTTATGTATAACTTCATTTTTGTTACTATAGTGAATGATATTTTAAAAAACTGTTTTCTTGATTAGGAATAGCCCACATGCGGGGCACCCTGGTGGTTTCTTTTGATTTATAGTCTAGCAACCTACTGAAATTCTGTTAAGTCTTGTTTTTTATGGACACATACAGTCAATCATGATGCATGCATGTAGTTCCAGTTGCTTTTATTTTTCAGATCACATTGTGTTTCTTGTTTGACATCTCCAGGATCTCTGACTAGTGACCAGAGCTATCTTCTCTCTATTTTTAAATTTTATTTTTGTTTGTTTTTGGTATGAATACTCCATCTACATGTATCCCTACATGCCAGAAGAGGGCATCAGAGCATCAGACCCAATTATAGATGGTTGTGAGCTACCATGTGGTTGCTGGGAATTGAACTCAGGACCTCTGGAAGAGCAGTCAGTGTTCTTAGCCACTGAACCAGCTCACCAGCCCTGAGCCATCTTCTCTTATTCTTTTAACAGAAAGCAGGAGTTTTGTTAGACTATGGGTATTTTATATTTTCAAAATTTACCTAGTATTCTTAATTTATCTCAATTTATTTTGAACAGGTTCTGAATTTTTATCGCCTTTATCCACAGAGATCTTACTTCTCTCCTTTTTAAGGTGTTCATGTGGCATGTTCCAGTGTTATTATTGGCACATACTCATTGTACAGAAGGATCAGTTTCTTTATGACATTTCCATTGTATATATCGTGAATTTTGAATTTACTTACTATTTATTTATTTTTGGTTTTTTGAGGCAGGGTTTTTCTGTGTAGCCCTGGTTGTCCTGGAACTTGCTTTGTAGACCAGGCTGGCTTTGAACTCAGAGATTTCTGCCTGCCTCTGCCTCCAGAGTGCTGGGATTAAAGGTGTATGCCACCATTGCCTGTCTTGACTTTGTGCCCCCCCCCACAACTTTTCTTATTTCCCACCTCCTTTCTACCTTTTACCTACTGTGTGAACCCCCTTCTACTTTCATGTCCTGTATTTGTTTTTAAAAATCTAGATTTCTTATGGGAGAGAAACCAAGGTCCACTTTAAAATGGGCCACTGCAGTAGATTTCAAATCTAACTGCACACTGGGATGAGCTGGGAGCCTGCTGCTTCCAGACAGTTGGACCTGAGTGATTGTGCAATATAGCATAGACTTAGAAATTCTTACAAACTCCCTCAGAGATTCTTCTGTATAGCTGAGTTTGAGAATCACCTATTCTATTAATATGTGGGCATATTTTTGTTGTTATTTTGAGATAACCTAAGGTGGTGTCTAACTTACGCTTCCTTGCCTTAGCCTCCTGTGTACGGGAATTACAGGTGTGCACCACCACATCTGGTTCTTTTTAAAGGATTTTTCCACCCATGTTCATAATAGTCTCCATTCACTTATTTTCTATTCTTTATCAGTTGCAAGTTTATCTTTCTAGAAAAATCACTTTTTTTTTGTTCCAAATTAAAGTTTTCCTTCGTTACAATCATGTAGTGTAACCCTAGTAAATTAGTTGTTTTTATTAACCCTCCCCCCTTTTTTTTAAAACAGGTGATCTGTGTTCATGATGTTTCATCCATCTACCGGGTACCCTTGTTGTTAGAAGAGCAAGGGGTCGTAGACTATTTTCTTCGGAGACTTGACCTTCCTGTTGAGAGACAGTCACGAAAGATGCTGATTAAATGGAAAGAGATGGCAGACAGGTTTGTCATAAGCAGTTGGGCATGCATATGTCAGTCTTTACTAGGGCTCCACCATGCTGTCATAATGTGCAGAAAAGGTGCTCATAGAAAGATGTTCAGAAGACTAACAAAGGATTTTATACCCAGAATGTGGTCACAACACAGAGGAGGATCTAGGTAGTCTAGGCCTGTACCGAGGACTTCAGGCAGTGAGTTCAGATCACTACATTGTGCTGTATTATCTCATTAGCTCAACAGCACCAACAGCAGCCTGGTGGCAGAGGGGTACATGTATTCCCAGAGCCTACAGGAATGCTGGCCTTGGCGGCAGCACTCTTAATACCTAAGCTGTGTTTGGGAACATGCCATACTCTCAGCTAGAAAATGCTGAGCAGGGATGAACTGCTGCCACCTTGTCCCTAAGCTCCGAGGTTGTCTCATTTCTGAGATACTAACTCATGGCCTAGAGCAGGGTGAGTCAAACTGTGACAGGGTAAGCACACAGATGGAGTGGAGTGCTCATTGTCTTGTTTGTGATAACTGCTTTCACTTGGACAGTTTCTTTTTTGTGTTTTGACCATTTATGTGGATATCTTTTGTAAGTCTATTTGCATGTAGCTATAAAAATAGCCTGTAGTTTCTTAATGACCTTTTTTCATAAAACTTGAAACATTGTTAGTCTTTTAATTATCTTAGGGTCTCTATTGCTGTGAAGAGACATGACCACAGCAACTCTTATAAAGGAATCATTTAATTGGGGCTGGCTTACAGTTCAGAGGTTTAGTTTATTGTCATCATGGTGGGAAGCATGGTGGCTTGCAGGACATGGGTACTAGAAAGTTATACATCTGGATCTGAAGGCAGCAGGAAGAGACTAAGACACTGAGCCTGATTTGAACATCTGAAACCTTAAAGCCTGCCCTCAGTGACACACTTCCTCTAACAAGACTTGCTACACCTACTCCAGCAATGCCCGCCCTATCTCCTAATAGTGCCACTCTCTATAAGTGTATGGGGACCATTTTCTTTCAAACCACCACATTTCATTATGTTTTAAAATGGAAATTTTTGATGATTATGGACAGGCATCCTTTGTGACTGTACCATAATTTATTTGACTTATGTTAACTCTCACGAATTGTTTGTTTAGTTTTTTTGCCCTTTGGGGTTGATTTTTTTATTTTTAATGACATTTATTTATTTTGGTTGTTTGTGTGCTTGAGCATTTGCATGCCACAGTGTATATGTGGAGATCAAAGGACAACTTGTAGGGGTCTGATTTTTCTTTCCACCGAGTTCTGGGATGGATCTCAGATCATTGGGCTTGTGTGGCAAGCCCACTGAATCATCTCATTTTACTCACTGAGTCATCTCATTTACTCCAGTCCTATTCTTTTTCTGAGACTGCCCTTTTGATATAAGGGTTCTTTGTGTTCTGTGCACAGTACTGAGGTGATACTCTATCGTCTTCCCGGGCATGTTTCCTCCTTGCAGAAGTAATTTCAGTCTCATAATGGTGTGAATGTTGCAGGTAACTGTCTTGACCCTTATTTGCCAGATATGATCGCTTGCTGGAGACCTGCTCTATTGCTCTTGTGGGCAAATACACCAAATTCTCAGACTCGTATGCCTCTGTCATTAAAGCTTTAGAGCATTCTGCATTGGCTATTAACCACAAGTTGGAGATCAAGGTAAGGAAGGGTGGGGTGGGTACAACTAAGGAGTAAATGAAAACAGCTTTGTGTGTGTGTGTGTTTTATACATTAAGAAATTTGTTGGGTGCAGGTATATGTGGGTACATGTGTATGTGCCATGGTACACATGTAGAGTTCAGAAAATAATTACTAGAAGTCATTTTTTTTCTTTCATAATGTGGGTCCTAGGGATTAAACTAGGTTGTCAAACTTGACAACAGATGCCTTTACCCACTGAGTCATCTTGAAGACTCAAGCCTTATGATCTTGTAGATACTCCATACCTACCAGCTTTATGGTTTTTGGACCTCTGCATTTATTTTTAGGGATAAGAAAGATTCATGTTGGTTTTGGGCTACAAGGAGACACCAGAGTATTTCTCAGAAATAACGAAGGGGCCTTAGTGCATGGATCTGAGTGTCAGTCTCTATGGAATGGGAGGGCTTGGTGGATATAGGTATAGTGCACAGCTGATGGTGCCACCAAAGACTTTGCCAGTAGCTGCTCTGCTCCCATCAAGTGTCATGATTAAAGGCACAGACTACAGAGCAGGTGGCCAGTCTTGGAGTACTGGATCTGCTGCCCAAGTGCTCTGAGCTTGGATGCCTTAATATTCTGCCTGGGTTTCCTTTAAAAGGGGATTGTGATAGTGGTTTCTCCTGTGGTTAAGAACAAAATGGTGCCGGGCGGTGGTGGCGCATGCCTTTAATCCCAGGACTCGGGAGGCAGAGGCAGAGGCAGGAGGATCTCTGTGAGTTCGAGACCAGCCTGGTCTACAAGAGCTAGTTCCAGGACAGGCTCCAAAGCCACAGAGAAACCCTGTCTCGAAAAACCAAAAAAAAAAAAAAAAAAAAAAAAAAAAAAGAACTAAATGGTTTACTTGGAACTGCTATATAGTAACTGCTGGATGTAGTCACTTCCTTTGGAAGGTGACTGGTCCATTTAGAGTTCTTGTTCCTATTGCACTGGCTGGAACTTTTCAGGAGATGGAGGAGAGAAGTGAGAGCTTGGAGCCTAGTGGTCCATGAATACAGGTTCCCACAGAGTGGTAACATAGACCTAGATGACCCCATTTTACCATCTGGACTTTTTTTTTTTTTTTTTTTTTGCTAGTTCTTTACAACACTGATTAATTTTATCTATTTGAAATTAGTTTGTGGCCACCTTGTGTTCAATGAATGGAGGCTGAGAGAAGAATAAAGAATTAAAAGCCCCAGTTTTTTAGGAACACTGAGGCTCTCAGACATAGAACACCTAGGAAAGAAGATCACTTGCCTTGGTAGATATATGAGAGAGAAAGGCCCTAAGGAGGTTGAGAGGGCTTGGGAAGGCAGAGGGAAAGAAGGGTGTCTGATATTCAGGAAACATTTTCTCAACTGATGCTCCCTCCTCTGTGATGACTCTAGCTTGTGTCAGCTTGTCATAAAACCAGCCAGTACAGGGTACTATTCCTAAAATGGTTATATCTTATTTTTTATAAGTCATACTTTGATTCAGGTGGGAGAAAAATGGAAAAACCAGCTAGCAAATAAACCAGAAACTTATGTGGGATGATGGCCTGTGGAGAGTGTCATTTGAACAAAGGACAGAGCCTTTTCCAGTGACTTACTTGCAAGATCTAAATACTCCAAGTGGGGTGGGTAGAATTGGACTTGACGGTTAAATAATCTTAAGGGGGACCCTTAATTAAAATAATATTTTTTATTAAATACTAAATTATTGAATTTAATTATGTTCCCTTTAAACTGAAATTAAGGGAGATGGAACATTGATAATGTTACTTGAAAGTTGAGAGGTATGGTTGGATTCATAAGCTTCTGTTTTTCTCTCTGCCTGGTGCCCCAGTACATTGATTCCACAGATCTGGAGCCCAGCACCCTGCAGGAGGACCCTGTGCGTTACCATGAGGCATGGCAGAAGCTCTGCAGTGCTCAGTAAGTAGCCTTCTCTGCCAGTCCACATAGACCTGTGCTTCCAGTGCTGAGGGAGGTCTTTTGCCCGTTAAAATGTCTTTTAATGATTAGACAGCCTAGTAAATGGAATAATTTGTTAAAAAAATGCGACGTTATAGTTGGATCTAAAGAAATAAACTCTGATTTTACTGATACTTCATGGGGCTTAAATATTGTTTTCATCTGACAGCCTAGTAAATGGAATAATTTGTTAAAAAAATGCGACGTTATAGTTGGATCTAAAGAAATAAACTCTGATTTTACTGATACTTCATGGGGCTTAAATATTGTTTTCATCTGACAGCCTAGTAAATGGAATAATTTGTTAAAAAAATGCGACGTTATAGTTGGATCTAAAGAAATAAACTCTGATTTTACTGATACTTCATGGGGCTTAAATATTGTTTTCATCTGGATCATTTGATGAGTAGCCATCAGTTGAGTCTCATAAATTGTTTTTGATAGCTGCTGCTATTACTAATGTAGGGCAAGTGCTCTGTCACTAAACCACATCCCCAGGTCCTCTTAAGAGAAGGTTTCTCTGCTTAGCCCTGTTCGCCCTAGAACTTTAGTCTGGCCTTAAACTCAGAGATCTGTCTGCCTCCGCCTCCCAATCATTGGTATTAAAGTTGTGTTCCACTATGCCCAGTTAGATTTTTCTTAAAATATAAAAACTAGAAGGAAGTTTGAATGCACTAGAGCAGTCAGTGTTATGAGGCTTGGTCAGTGTGGTGCACTGCTGAGGCCCCTCATGGGAACTGAGAGGAGCACTGGAATCCAGAGGAAACGTGCGATGACTGCACTTTGAACATACCTCTAGTCTGGTACTTAGGAGGCTGAGGCAAGGGGAATTTGTGAGTTTGGAGCCAGTCTGGGCTATACCGAAAGACCTATCTCAGAAAAGAAATATGAATGATGAATTAGGGTCAAGGACAGTAGCAGCAGCATCCTGATAGCCCATGTTTCTGTTTGCACTAAGTTTATTGTGTTTACATTCACAGAATGTATACCCACAGTCTTCCAGCTATAGTCTCAGATCCCCTGGGGGCTTAGATATATGGGAAGGTAGTTCATGGCTCAGTGTTTTGGCAGTGGCTTCTTTGGTATGATTAAGGGCTGGATTAGTGGAAAAGGGAAGTTGCTTTGTGTTCTTCTCTCTGCAGTGGAGTGTTGGTTCCAGGAGGATTTGGTGTTCGGGGAACAGAAGGAAAAATTCAAGCAATTGCCTGGGCTAGGAAACAGAAGAAGCCTTTTTTGGGTAAGGAGCCCAGCTGTGCCCTCTTCACTCTGGAGAGAGAAGAATGAGGAAGATGCCAGTTTTTTTTTTTTTTTTCTAGAGAGGAGAGGAATTTTCTGGGGGAAATTCAATTATATTTTCTTATGTGTATGTATGTAGGAGCATGTTGTGGCATACATGTAGAAGGCAGAAAACAACTTGCCATGGTTCTCTCCTTCCACTATTTTGTCCCAGGAATTGAGCTTAGGTTATCAGGCTTAGGTTAGCACTTTTAGCTACTGAGCCATCTCATTGGCCCTCAGATTCGTAGTATGGAAAGTTTTTGAGCTACATGTAAATGACAAGGAATTTTGAGAAAGTGAACTGAGATAGGAAATGTTTGCAGTGCATGTAAGGCTGGGTTTTGTGTCATCCTCACTTGGCAAAACAGCCAGTAACTGGACCGAGTGATTTCTGGATGCTTCCTGTTGCTGCACAGTTAAGTGGTTTTCAACCTGACCAACCTGGAAATGAGCACATAATGAGAAAGGATTGGGAGCGTGGATTTTAAGGTGCCGAGTGGAGTTTCATTTCTTTAACTGAGTAGCTTTGCAGAACCCCAAATCTTCATTTGTATATAGGTCCTAGTTTAATTCAGCAGGTAAAGCTTTTGGGTGTTTCAGACATGATGTTAAGTATATGATTTCCACTCAAGACACACAAAGACACTGACAGGCTGGGGGGAATGGAGGAGTTGCCCTCTCAGTGGAGATTGACATTATTTTTCCTTCTCTTGGAAGGTGTGTGCTTAGGAATGCAGCTAGCAGTGGTAGAATTTTCAAGAAATGTGCTGGGATGGCAAGGTAAGTGTCTTGTTTAGCAACTCATTCCTGGCCTGAAAGCCATTTTGTGCTGGTGGTTGAGAGCTGTGAGTATGATGCCTGTTTTCTCAGCAAGTCTCAGTGTTCAGGGAAGAAGGCACCTTATTCATAGTGGTGCAAGAATCCCTCTACATATGCATGAAGGAGCACTTGAGCGAACAGGTCTTTGGCTGTTGCCCTGCATTTTTTGTCTCAAGATTCTCACTTTGAACACAGTGACCACCACCCAGATGGTCCAGCAAGAAGCCACTGATGTACAGAAGGATTGTGTAGTTACAGACTTGGGCTCAAGTTCTGACTTTATCACTAAATATATAAGTAGTTTTAGGCAACTTAGTCTTTCTGACTTCTGTTGCCTATAGAATAGGCATTACTTCACACAGTTGAAAAAAATTAGGTGCAGCTGAGTGGTGATGGTGGCATATGCCTTTAATTCTAGCACCCAGGAAGCAAAGGCAGGTGGATTTCTGTGATTTCAAGGCCAGTCTGGTCTACAAAGTAAGTTCCAGGACAGGCAGGGCTACCCAGAGAAACCAGGTCTTGAAAAAAATAACAGCAAAAGTAGGTGAAACACTATAAACAAATAGTCCCTATCAGTTCCTGTCAGAAAGTGTAAGATCTACTTGTAACTGGATGACTATGAGAGACTAGACTTCTCACAGTGCTGGCTTTTGAGCTTGCTACAAAATGAAGCATGTAGGTATGAAAAAGCTGTGGTGTGAGAGCCTCTGGGCAGCTGGCTTGTGGCCAAGGCTGGGTTCCACCTCACAACCCTGGGGACCATGGCTCAGTGGCATAAGATGCTTTTCCTTTATTTCTGGTGTCTGAGTCTTCACAAGGACTGTCTGCCCATCATCCAGAGCTGGCATCTAGGATTTTTGGATGCTTTTACACTCAAGCTCAAGCTCCTCCCTCCCCCTGGGGTTCCCAGTTGGGCAAGTGGCCTTATGATATGCTTAGCCTGGTTTGGGCCCAGGCAGGAAACAGTACCTTACATTAACACAGAAAGGGATTTGATCCTTTGCCTTTTTGCCTAGTGCAACGTATAGAAAGGTAGTTTATGTTGAAATCAGTTAACTTCCCACCTTTTTCAGAGACTGAGACAGTGAGTTTCATGACAACCTGGACTGTACAACAAGACCCTGTCTCAAATTAAAAATAAAAAAGAACTGGACATTTGCAAGGCCCTGTATTCATTCCCAGTGCTGCAAAGAAAAGTAACAGCTCAGCTAATTCCTAACTTAACTGAGGATGACAGCATATTAGATGCTGAGGACGGAAGGCAGAGGGAACAGTTCTTACTCATCTTAGAGAATCTATAACAAAATGAAAAATTAATGTAAGAACTGTTATCAGAGAAACAATCTAAGATGATTTTTATCCACCTTGCAGTTTGACTTCCCAGAAAGATAAAAGATTTGATAGGGCGAGTTTCACGGGTGTTTAGTCCTATTTTACTGTCCCCTGAAGGGATAAAACTATGTGATTATATTTTAATTATTATAGTCGGGCAGTGGTGTGCCCGCCTTTAATCCCAGCACTCAAGAGGCAGAGGCAGGGAAATCTGTGAGTTTGAGGCCAGCTTGATGTACAAAAGCTAGCTAGTTCCTGGACTGCTAGGACTGTTACACAGTGAAACCCTGTCTCAAAAAACAAACAGACAAAACAAAAAAATTTACTAGTTCTCTCTCTCTCTCTTTTTTGGGGGGCCTTGTTTTTTGCTTTTTGTATTTTGAGACGGAGTCTCACTGTGTAGCTCTAGTTGGTCTTGAACTCTGTGTAGATCAGGACTTTAACTCACAATATCTACCTGCCTTTGTATCTTGAGTTCTAGAATTAAAGACATGTGCTATTGGTGTTCCATAATTTTGTAATAATTTATTTTTATTTTTTTATTTTGTGCATATGAATGTTTTGCATGCATGTAAGTGCATTCTACTTCCCTGGTGTCCATGGAGGTCAGATGGCACTGGATCCCCTGAAACTGATTATGGATGGTTGTCAATAGCTGTGTGGGCACTAGGAACCAAATCTAGGTCATCTGGAAGAGCAGAGTGCTCTTAATTATTTGGCCATTGACTTTAAACAAACAGAGAAAGAGATCGTGATTTGTTGCTTAGCATGAAACTGTAACAGGTTTTGTTTATAGATATTTTTATAACTCAAGTATTTTAACTTTTCAGATGCTAATTCTACAGAATTTGACCCTAAGACTAGCCATCCTGTGGTGAGTCAAGCATTTGAACCTCTCAGGGCTTAGAAAGGGTGGAAGGACATCTGTGAAGCAGGGGATGGCAGACAGGCAGTGAGGTCACTGCGTCCCCCAAACCCTCAGATCTCATGATGAGGACTTTCTGAGTTTTCACTTAATTCCTCACCAGTCTTTTCAGGTAACCACAGGAAATCTGTAATAGACAGGTATGGTCCCTGATAGCAAGGAGACAGCTCTCCTGTCCCCTCAGTTCCTGGTGGGAAGTGTGTGGGGGTGAAGGCTTGTTGATGGTAACCATTGTTCTCAGAGTTCCATAAAGCAGTTCATGTTCTCTTGGGTACCAGTCCTGGAAGGTAGACAGGCTCAGGGTTGACAAGCTCGGGGTGGTGATTTCTTTAGTGGTAAGCAAGGCTTTTTCCAGACTGCAATACTGCTGCGGTCGATCACCTAGGTATGTGGCCTAGACAGCCTGTGATGGTACTGAGGTTCACTGGGGAGGAGCTTTGTCTTTGAATCCCTAGCCCATGAGTGACAGGCATACTTAAGCATTTTCTTTTTCAGTATTCAGCAAATGCTAATTATTGGTTGTGTACAAGGGACTGTTTTGTCACTGAGAAGATGGACAGGTTTTTGATCTCAGTGACTTAGCATCTGTATATTAGGTGATCTGAAGTTGGAGTTTTGTTAATGTAAGAACAATGGGATGAGGGAATGGAGCATAGGGAAGCCTGGAGGAGTTTGTAAGGTGCTCAGGCATGCTGGGCCAAGAGGCAAGCCATTCCAGCCCCCTTTGGGGTGCCACAGTCTCCCTGTTCATAGACTTGTTAGTGGCTGTTGGTCTTTTGTACCCTTTTTTCAGACCCAGAGGACAGCCATGTCTGACTAGTTAGTCTTGTGGCCATATTAGTGTGGTGCCACAGCACAGAGCCTTTGACCTCCCAAGGGGACAGCATCATGAGGCAGGCTGAAGCACTGAACTCCTCTCTGGGAGTGCTTCACTTGGGGAAGGAGGTCTGACTTTAACAGCAGCAGATGTGGAAGTCAGATTTGTTTTCTGAACATCTCTAGGTCATAGACATGCCAGAACATAATCCTGGGCAGATGGGTGGAACCATGAGGCTGGGCAAGAGGAGAACCCTGTTCCAGACCAAGAACTCAGTCATGAGTAAGTTGTCTCACATGAGTCTGGCTTTTGTCCTGGTCTATACAGGGCACATGGGCTAGGTGGTGCTGTAGCTCCAAAGAGCCAGGCCAACTGCTTTGTTCCTGTTTTTGCAATTTTTTCTTCCTCCTTTTCATGCTTGTTTAGGATGTTCTGTGTTAGCTAGATGGTCTCTGGTAATGCAGACAAGCCATTAGGTTAAATCCATTGCAATCCATGGTTACTTTCTTATACTAGTAAATAAAACTATGCAGAATTTGGTGGTTAAAGAAAAAAAATCACAATTTTATATAGTTTAAATACATTTTATTCTAACAAATAATCATGGTTAGAAACTTAGGAGAATTGGAGGAGGAAAATATCGAAGAAAATTAGTAGACATTGCTTTGCCCAGTGGAAACATTGCTTTCTATGTCTTGTGGGAGTTCCAGTGGCAGACTAGTTTGAGAATCACTTGTATCATTTTCCAGTTTTTCCAGCTGTGCTGTTATATGGATTTGGGGCCTCAGTAGGCAGTGAGGAGCGAGTCAGTAAGCACCCCATTTCCTCACACTGCTTGTTTATCCACAGTCACCAGGCACCAGCCAGCTTTTCGTTTCCCTTCCAAACACTGTTCTGAGGGCCTGTCCTGTCCCTGTGGTTCCAGCATCACAGTGCTTTGCATTTAGCAGTGATTGTTCAAGGGACCCCGTGAAAGTTTGTTCCTGTTGTGGTACTTAGTTTGGGCAGAGGAGTCAGAGCCCCAGGAATTGTCTGAATTATATATATCAAGAGCAGATGGCTAGCAGAATTTTGGTAGCCTGGTTTACTACCTACATGATGGAGTGAATTGGGAAGTTAGTAGTTTACATAGATTGTTTGTCATACAAATTGCCTGGTTTTCTGCAGGGAAACTCTATGGAGACATAGACTACTTGGAAGAGAGGCACCGCCACCGATATGAGGTGAGGATGTGAGCCTGCTCCTTCTGTTACTCTGCAAAGAAGGGAATGGAGAGGCCAGCATAATGAGTTTTCCTGCCCCCCAGGTGAATCCAGTCTTGAAGAAGTGCTTGGAAGAGCAAGGCTTGAAGTTTGTTGGCCAAGATGTTGAAGGCGAAAGGATGGAGATTTTGGAGTTGGAAGGTGACTGGGTAGTGTTAACTCCTCGGTGTGTGGGAAAATAGAAAAAATGTGTTTCCCAGGTGTGGCAGTGTCACACACTGCAATCCAGCCCTTAAAGAGTTGAGGGAGGAGGATGAGTTCAGGTTAGCTGGGACCAGAGCCAGACAGACCTTTTCTAAAGAAAAACGAGGAGGCAGCAGTGTCTGGGCAGCAGTTTCTGTCACAGTTCTGGAGAGGGGAGGTGCATCCCTAAGCCTGGCTTCCACGGCAATCATGTAGCCCTGGGCTCTCCCAGCTTGAAGAGCTGGACTTGGTGCTAAATTCCTTTCAGATTTCATGTGAACTGTGGGGCTCAACCTAGGCAAGTCACAAGATACTCAGGACTCTGGAGAGCAGGAGCCTCAGCCCTGAGGTATATGGTATTGAGGAACGTGTCAGCTCCCTCCTGCTTTGGAATTCCTTTTGCCTTGAATTGAGTTTCTTTCAAACACTCTTAGGGTTTATTTGTCTCATCTTTGTATGCACAGAATACTAATTTTTCCTTCTGAATTTGTGTTGCAGATCACCCATTCTTTGTTGGGGTGCAGTATCACCCCGAGTTCCTGTCCAGGCCTATCAAGCCCTCCCCACCCTACTTTGGCCTCCTTCTGGCCTCTGTTGGGAGGCTCCCACACTACCTGCAGAAAGGTTGCCGGCTCTCACCCAGGTAGAGATATTAATCACAGTGAGGCTCTAAGAAAAAGCCATTTGGCAGGTCCTTGCTATGCTGTGAAGGTTGAAGGTTCCCATCCTTTTCCTGGGGTTTTGTTAGGCTTCCCCTGTCTTACTGGCCAGGCCTCATTTCTATGATTTCTGGTTGTGGGAATGCTGCTGAGCAGATCCTGTCCATGGCAGGTGAGTCACAGCCAGGTGGACTTATGCCTGATTACTTTTATCTGAAACCAGTTTCTCTCAGTAGGTGTCAACCATATCAGTATTGAAGTACTCAGAAGGAAATCCCTCCACAGCCTCACATGTGTGGTAGAGATCGTTGCCATGTGTGGACATACTATTGTATAACAGTGGTTACAGAGATGGGGAGGTAAATTGTTAGCTGGGAGATGAGTAAACCTGTATTTCACAGGGACACTTACAGTGACAGAAGTGGGAGCAGCTCCCCCGACTCTGAAATCACTGAACTGAAGTTTCCATCAATAAATCAGGACTGATCTGGTAAGTGACGTTTTTAATGTTTATTTAAAAAAGACGGTCTCTAAGAGCTCACTGGCTAGCCCACCCAGCTGTATCAGTGAGCTGCAGAGACTGAGTTGTCTCATAAAGTAAACTGAAAAGTGACAGGAAGACGCCTGCCAGCCTGTCCTCCATGTAGAAGGCACACACAGGTGCATACACCCACACTCCCCTCCACACACAGACATTTGTTAGTCATTGGGAGTGCCTGTCCCTCAGCAGCCTTGAAACAGGCTGCCACTTTAGACAGAGTGCTTGTATCTGGCTGAGAATAGCACAAAGGGTTGCTGCACATCAAGATGTGTGGTTCTGTGGAATTGCAAATGCAGGCTTCTGCCATTTTCCCCACAGGAACAGGCCTCGTTCCCTGTGGTGGCTGGCAGCTGACCAAGTTCTGACACTTCTCTAATCATGTAATTCTAGCATTTTTTTTTTAAACAGGATGATTCTTCAAGAAAGCCTTTGACCTGATAGTTTACAACTATGATTTTACACTCTGCTTTTGACACTTCCTTTAAATTATGTTTTTATTAAGATTATTTTATTATGGGGAAAAAGCATGTCCTATCATTTATATTGGCTCCTGCGACATACCTGTTTGTGAGACAATTCCTTTGCAGTTGTGTTTCTGGCATGGGAAGTAGGACTCTGGATGGGACCTGATGGTGGCCAGCGGCTGGTTGAAGGCCATCAACCACCCGAGTTACTGCCACTCAAGTGCGTTGCTATTATTTCCCTGGGATGCCAGCTCTTCCAGTGCTGGGCTTCTGACTGTAGGTATTGCTGGAATCTCGGTGCTGCTGAGTTGTGGGGGACTTGGTGCCAGTTGTGGCCCTTGTCATCCAGAGGGATGTTTGGTTCTTAGGCACATCAGACAAGCTCTATGAAGTGTCACATAAAAACCTTGGGGCTCTGGCTGCACTTCCTGTTTGTGCAGCTGAGAACACTCCTTGCATCAAGGGGTCAAGAAATGAGCAATCTTGGGAACTAGTTATGAGCCCTCTCATGTGTATGCAGCATTGGTTTAGGGGTATTTTTTCTTCCAGAATGGTGTTATTGCAGTTGAAATGCAATTCGAAAAGTTATTTTCTTAATGTGACATAGCACTGGGCGTGGCCATGTGCCCACACTATGGTGGCTGACTCAATGTATACTCCTAACTTAATAAATAATGAGTAACCATTGATGTGCGTTCTCATTCTGTCACTGGTTGGTGTGTTTTTCCTTGGGCACTGAGCTTCAATGCTGGGCTGTTCCTAAGCCAGCAGTCTGATGCTTTGTATCAAAGTAAGATGCAAGCCTTAGTAGCAACCAGGATTTCTCAGCAAGGCTTCAGTTTGTCATGACATACCATGTACCAAGGGATTCAAAGCCAACTGCTGCTGTGTGTTACTCAGCTGGGGAAAAGCAGAACCATGGGCTGCCTGGACAGGATCATTTGCTCACTGCAGACAGGGCACTTCACACATGGAGCCAGACAGTTAACCAAGGGCTATTTTAACCAGCTGGTCTTCTTTCTCTCACTCTGCACTCATTCGTGACCTCTAGAGTTGAGGCTCAGAAGTTCAAGGTCACAGGGACTAGATTCTTTTCAAAGTCAATTATGAGGTGATGGTAGCAGCATTCACTCACTCAGGCTGCAGGCCTAGTTGTGTATAGGTGGTAAAAGTAATATCCTTCACTTGCTGTAAGTTGAGACATGGCGCCTTAGGGGGAGGGATGTGTGTCTCGCCAGTTAGCCCAGGTCCTACCTCAGACTCTCATTTCCTGGTCCAATGCCACTATCATCCTTGAGGCCTCCTGATCAAACATCCTGTCTTTCCCTCATTTCTCAGTAAGCTTATGTTTACTTCTACATAGATCCTGTCTGGGTTGTAGCTGATTGTACTTCTAACTCCCCTTTCCCACCCAGTGGTTTCATTTTTCCCCATGCTGAGGCAGTGTGTCCCAGAGGGCTTGGCTGGGTGTGGAGTGGTTTGGAAGAGCTACTTGGAATGCTTTTCTGATGGAGAGTGATGAAGATGGCCTCACTATTGACCAGTTGCCACATGCCAGCTACCTGTATAACCTGTCAGCAAAAAGAAAAATCCCTGGAGTTTGCCATGGTGCTGGAGGGCGGCCCTCTGTGTCCAATGACTACCAGACCGCAGGCTTCTCCCTAGCAAGAGGGAACCTGGCAGGCTTCTATGTCCTTAATGTGTTCGCCTCAGACCTAGGGGACAAGGGCAGGTGGCAGCTGTGCTTCCTGTGACTACCTGCCTTAGCAGAAACCAGCTTCCAGAGAAAAATACTTCTGAGGATGTTGCCTCCTGGACCAAAATCTAACATGGGTTGATGATACCCAGAACATTCTCTGGCTTCTTGAGTAATGACTTAATTTTTACATTCATTTATTTTGATTATCCTGGGGCTCAAGCTAGTGAGCGAAATGTTCTACCACCGGAGCCACAACTCAGCCTTAGGAGCGCATTCTTTTCTCCTTTCTCCCCCTTTTTTTATTTTTCCGTTCAAATATTTAAACTTCCTTCCCTTCTCCCTATCCCCTCCCGCTCCCCCACACCTCCTTCTCCCTCTCCCTCCCTGCTTGAGAGAGGGCAGGGAACTCTGCCCTGTGGGAAGACTAAGCGCCCCCCTCCCCCCCCCACACATCCAGACCTAGGGAGCTGTGCATCCGTACAGAGTGTGTTCTGGCTTTTTAGGAGCGTGTTCTTTGTGGAGCCCTGTGAACAGTGTGTGGTAAATGTCTTGAACATTTCTGATGATGTTTGGTCCCTGGCAGCATTGTAAGTCCTGGTGGGGGTTGTATTCTGTTTGCTGCATGGAAAGATCAGGTTTTGTGTGGTGAGTGGTCCAGGGAGTGTCCAGTAGCTGGTGAGTGGGGCATGGGAGCTGAAATTTGAAAACTCGTGTGTGCACGTGTCGAGGATACAGTGCCTTTCTCTTTGATGCCTACTCTGAATGTGGCTGAGAACCTCAAGAAAGGGAGAGTGGATAACTACTTTCGTTGTCTTATAAAATGTTATTTGTCAGTACTTTCAAAGTACCCTTGATTGTCTCATTAGGGAATTAGGTACCTACCACATGCCTGTGTTCTGAACACAGACCATATCCCTGGCCTGCAGCATGTACTTCAGTGGGAGAAACTGACATTGCTATGGAGAGGAAAGGAAGCCAGACACAGTTGCTCCTCTTCTAGAACAACTAGCCAAATTTTCCGAAATCGGGGTTCCTTGGTGGTGTGCCAAGAGCTGATCATGAGCCTGTTCGGAGGTGAAGCCACAGCACCTGCATGAGCAGTGCTGAGGGAGAGAGGTGGTAGCCCATGTATGTTTTATTCCAGGCCCTAGCCCTCATCTTCCTTAACCTCACAGGACGCAGCAGCTGCAGGACAGGGACCGCCGCTGCTGAAGCTGCTGCTGAAGCTGCTCCTTTTCCACCGTTAGCACCTTCACCTTCTCTTCCAGCTTGCCCAGCTCCATCGTCCACTTCTGAGAGGACAAGTGTGGCAGTGATAATCAGGCTGCCGGTCTTTTCTGGGATGGGTCATAGCCTGGGGGCCCTGGTTATGCTGATGCCTCTGACCAAGGAGCTTGAGGTGCCTGTATACTCCACTGGGATGGATCCCCCTTTGCAGCCTCCCAAGGGCTGGCACAGGGACCTGATCACCACCTGACCATGTCTCCAGTGTCAGCTCCCTTGCCCTCTGTTTTTCACCACCTGGTGGTTCTCTCAGAAAGACTGCACCATGGGACTCAGTCCAGCTTTCTGTTACCCCCTCACCAGGCGTTACCCAGGTACAGTGCATAACATTTGGGGTTTCCGTATAGCACCTCAGTAGTCTAATCTCCCTTGATCCCCTGGTCCTCCAACATAACGGCTCAACTGCTGAGCCAGGGTGGGTGGGGCTTTGTGCTGTGGATTTGGGTATAGGTTTTAAAATGACCATTGGGCCGGGTGGTGGTGGCGCACGCCTTTAATCCCAGCACTCAGGAGGCAGAGGCAGGTGGATCTCTGGGAGTTCGAGACCAGCCTGGTCTACAAGAGCTAGTTCCGGGACAGGCACCAAAGCTACAGAGAAACCCTGTCTCGAAAAACCAAAAAAAAAAAAAAAATAAATAAAATAAAATAAAAATAAAATGACCGCTGGGACTTTCCCTTTGGCTACTGAGCTGTGGAATTTGGGAGGAGGCAGAGTTCCTTTCATCCAAGCCCTCCCTTCTCCAAGCTTGCCCAGCCCTTTAGGGTAAGTGGCTGGAGAGGTCTGAGTCTGCTTGACCTCAGCCTTTCCTTGGCCAGAGCCTCCTCACCTGCCTGCACCAGTCCTGGATGGCGCCAACAGACAGTGGGCCCTGGATGCTTCCGTCACGCCGTAGAAATACCTCCCCCTGGTCTGTCTCATAGAGCTGTGGCTCACCCTGGGCCTTGGGGGTGTGTACGGTCAGGCGGAGTACCTTAGCAGGGGCAGCAGCAGCTCAGAAGGTGCCACACCTGATGGTGACAGCCCTAGTTCCACTTTAGCAGCCCCACACTTTACCTCCCAGAAGCAGCCTGGTGGGCTTCTACTTGCTCCTACCCACCCCTGTGCTGCTCAGCAATGTCCCAGGGCAGTCCCCACTGTTCTGAGTGACCACAGGCACTAGTAGCTCACCTTGAGAGGGGTGTTGGCTGTGGAAGTGCTTATGACGGGGATGAAGGTGAGGGTGTAGGCATCAGGGAAGACCTGGGGTTTGAAGCCTTGCAGGATGGAGTCCACCAGCAGGCGTGTACGGTCCTCATCACGGTGGCTGCAGTGGATGCCCTGTACCAGGCCATTGTCCTCGACACCTACCAGCAGGCTGCCACCCTCACTGTTGAGAAAGGCACACACGTAGCGCCGTACGTGGTGCTTGAAAGCCAGGCTCAGGTACTCACCGCTGCCTCGCTTAAATTCCACATTCCGTGTCTCACTGCCAAGGAAGGCACCCTGGAATAGCTGCTCCTGGCCCAAGATCTCCTGGTGCACAATGGCACTATCAGAGCGCACGCCACTGGGTCGGTTCTGAGAAATCTGTCGACGCCCAGCCCAGCACCAGTTAGGGGAAGGGTCTGGCAGCTGGGGCCGCTGTGGGCGCCTTAAGCCTGGGCTGGGGCCAGGGCTGGGACTTGGGCTTGGGCCGCTGTCCTCCTGTTGGGGTGGGGGTCGAGAGTGGGTGTATAGGCAAAGGTAAAAGACAAGGGGCCCTAACCTAAGAGACTGCTAGACCCCCATCACATTACTGCTAGTGGTCCTCTCCCAGGCTGAGGGCACATGCTAGCCCGTGGGTTGGGCTCTTACAGTGGCGCCTGCTCTAGGATGCCTGGGTGGGTAAAGAGATTGTCCCTTTGGAGGTGGGAGCCACCCATGGGCCAATCTTCCCACTTGGGAGTATGCAATAGGTTCCAGGCCCCCGATGTTCCCAGGAGGCATCTTGGTACCCTGTAGTTCTCTGGGCAGAGCTGTAGGGAGGGCCTTGAACTGAGGGACCCTACTCTCTTTGTTGTCCCTGGAATGTCTGCCAGCTAGCTTGCTTTCTTCTTCCTGAGTCCCTCTGTGGCTCCTGCTTTGTCTCTGGGGCTCTGAGCATTTTGTTTCTGCATGGTAACTTCCTTAGGGTCTTGACAGCCTATCCATTAGCTTCCTCTTCCCATCCTCTCAGGAGCTCTAAATGCTAATCCAGTGGCCACTCCCATTTCCCAGCAGCCTTCACTTCAATAGGGAAGGACACCCAGCTGGGCTGGTGCACTATAATGGACAGGACCTAGCAGCCCTCAGCTCCCCAGGGAAGATGAACTTAGCCTCAGAAACGAACAGAACTGGCACAGAAATACAAAAGCAGGTGCTCGGGCATCAGAGGCATCACAGAGCTGCAGAGCCAGTTCACGCCCCATGGGTTTGCCCTCTGGACAGAAGACCCAAGGATATTGGTAGTATAAACTTTCACCCCTCAAAACTGGCTTGGACCCTGCTTTCCTGAGATCATGACAGCTGTAGTGATCTGGACCCAGCCTCTGGCCCAGCTTCTTCCTCAGTGCCTCTGTGACCTGCAGCCTCAGCTCCAGAGATACCAAGCAGCCTGTTCTGAACATCTTTTCTTGGAGGGCCTTCTGTGCTCCCAAGCCTGGCTTTTCAGTCCCCTTTAATTTGTCTTCAGTGAGCCGTGAGGGCTTGCCTGTTCTCCCACTGCCACCCCAACTTTGGGACTGGCAGAGTTGGTTCTGCTCCTGAAGGGCTTGCCTGCCTCAGCCTTGCTTCTGGTACTTCTGGTGTTTGTCAACAGAACAAATGAGGTAGGCTGAGGAGAAAACTAGCACTTCGTATATATGTCGTGGGCCTCCCAAATCTGATTGGAATGCAAACATTAGTCCCTCTGAGAAGAGGGGTCAATCATTTGAGTCACATCCCTAGGGCATGCGTGCAGTTCCTCATCTCTTCCTTAGCAAGCCTTTCAGGGGACACTTGGGTAAATGGCACTTACCTCCCTGTGGTTTAAGGACTCCAAGCCTTCACTCAACACCAGTTCCTTGCCACGGGCTGTGAGCTCTTTGAGGATTAGCTGCTCCTCCATGGCCATCTGCAGACGCCAGGGGAGGGAGGCCAGGGCAGCCTTGGGGGCAGCCACCTGTACCAGTGCATAAGTGTTTCGTGGCCGCCTCACTACTTCAATGTGCTCACGGGCCACTGGCAGCTCCAGCCGCTCTAGGGTGTCTCGTAGCAGGCAGGCAAGCACGGGCACAGAGAACTGGGGGTTCAGGTGGCCCACATAAAGAGTATGTGTGCTGGGAACTGCCTTGAGGCCAGAGTCCTTGGGTGAGGACTCTTTTGGAGGCAGCTTTGGCAGGAGCTGCTTGTCCTGGGACTTCACGGGGGACTCCCACATCTGTCTGTGCTGACCTCTTCCTCTGAAGGGATTTTGGTAGTCCTCACTGCTGAACGCTCTTTCTGGGCCTGGCTTTCAGCCTGTCCAGGACGTCCTCACAGGTGCTGAGGCTTCTGGAGGCGTATGGACTGGCAGAGGCTAGGCAGGGTTAGAAAGAAAGGAGGGCAGAAGGCCAGTAAGCTGCCCTCCCCCCTTGGTGCCTAGGAAAGAACCAGGTGGGCCTGAGCCCGGCCTCTCTGGGCCTGTGGATAGATGAGGGTTTGCTTAAAGGGTTAGGAGTCTTTGAGGTCTCCTTCACACCCTCTAGCTGCCTTCTTAGGACCTCTTAGCTGTCGCTGGGGTTTCCTCACACCTACAAGGTTCTGTCTCCAGGTCCTAGCAAGACGGTTATAGTGGGCCTCAGAGTATATAGGTCAAAGTCCCAAACTCTGAGGGCTGGTCTGGCTCTCTTCCACTTGCTTTAAAACCTGCCAGGAAGCTAATATGGGTCATTCAAACTAGGATTAGGTTGGCAGGTTCATGGCTCAGCAATTAAGAGTACTACCTGCGGGCTGGAGAGATGGCTCAGTGGTTAAGAGCACCACCTGCTCTTCCAAAGGTCCTGAGTTCAATTCCCAGCAACCACATGGTGGCTCACAACCATCTGTAATGAGATCTGTGCCCTCTTCTGGCCTGCAGGCAGNAGTTCAATTCCCAGCAACCACATGGTGGCTCACAACCATCTGTAATGAGATCTGTGCCCTCTTCTGGCCTGCAGGCAGAGTACTGAGAATACTGTGTACATAATAAATAAAAATAAATAAATAAACCTTGAACCCATGTGGAGACTTCTTTAAAAAAAAAAAAAAAAAGAGTACTACCTGCTCTTCCAAAGGTCCTGAGTTCAATTCCCAGCAACCACATGGTGGGTCACAACCATCTGTAAAGAGATCTGGTGCCCTCTTGCGGATGGTCAGTTGTCCTCATCAACTTAGACCATGAAACCCAATATGGACAAGTTCAACAGAAGCACCATATATGGGCTGCCCATGCATGCTTCAGTATTGCCAGGGCATAAATTTCAATTTTTCATTTTTGGCAGGTTCTTGGGGTTTTGATATACTGACAAAAATTATAGTCCCTCTCCATGAAAAGGATCTTTGCATATATACATAGAACTTGAGAAAGGCACACACCTTTAAAGCAAGTTCCAGGACAGCCAGGACTATACAAAGAGACCCTGTCTTGAAAAAAAACAACCAACCAACCAACCAAATCCAACTTGAGATGCCTCAGGAACTAGAACTGAGCTTGCTTGTCGCCCTAGGCTTGGGAGCTCATTTACAAGTTGTACCACAGGTCCTCCACTCACCCCCACGCCCCCAGCCTCCAACTTGGGTGGCAGGTGCCACCAGCCCGCATCTTTCCAGATTGGACTTTTGAGGTGGTCGGAATCCGAGAGCCACCACAGCTGCAGTGGGGGCATTCAGGACAAGCCACAAGTGGAGGCAGGAGGAGGCCTATGATCTTCATGTCCTGCTGGCTCCTGCGGGAGGCATGGGAGGTGCTCGCCCTGGGCTCTCACAGCTCCCTGGCCTGGGGTATTAGGACCTGGCATGGAGGCAGAGAGAAGCAGGCTCTAGGAAGTGGGCGGGGTCTGCACACGAACCTCTGTGATCTCACGAAGGCCAACAATGCCTTCTGATTGAGCCACAGGCAGCAAGCAGGATGGAGGATGCTGAGCAAGGATGGTCCTCAACAACCATACTCTTGGCCAGACACTAAGCAGATGCAGCTGCTCAAGCACCACACAGCTTGGCCATGGCGGCCCTTGGAGCAGCTTCCAGAACTGAGGGTCCAACTCCACTTCTTCCCCCTGCACCACCTCTCCAGATCTCAGTGCTCACACAAGCCAATAGTTGCCACCTTTTTGGCTCTGCTGGCTAAAGTCTTTACCTCCTTGGTCCTCAACCCCAAGCTCCACAGAGTGCTGACAGGACCTAGCTGCTTCCAGGAAGAACAAAAATGTACAAGGTGGGGTCCATGGTTCTCTTGATACAAGACCCCTTTCTGTGTCAGTCATTTCTTGTTAGAGGTTATTATCTAGAAGGACCTACAAATAGCTAAGTGACATGCAGCCTCTGCCAATGAGGCCCTCGAGGGCAGCTTAGCTTAGGTAAGCTTTCTTTTTCTTCCTTTTTTTTTCTCCAAGTCAGGGTTTCTCTGAGTAGTCCTGGCTGTCTTGGAACTTGCTCTGTAGACCAGGCTGGCCTCAAAGAGATCTGCCTGCCTCTGCCTTCCCAGAGCTGGGATTAAAGGCGTTATCACCACTACCCAGCAGGATTTTTTTATGTGCACTGATGTTTTGCCTGCATGCATGTCTGTGTGAGGGTGTCAGATCACCTGGAACTGGAATTACAGACAGTTGTGAGCTCCCATGTGGGTGCTGGCTATTGAACCTGAGTCCTTTGGAAGAGCAGTTAGTGTTCTTAACTGCTAGGGCCATCTCTCCAGCCCCAAGTACCTTTTATTATTATTAAAAACTCATTTATTGCTGTGTGTATGATATGGGAGAAGGAACACACGTGTCATGCCACACATGTGGAAGTCAGAGGACAACTCTGGAGCTGATTCTCTCCTTCCTCTTGTGAGTTTTGGGGACCAGTATCAGGTCTCCAGGCTTGCACAAAAACACCTTTACAAACTGAGTCATCTTGTTGGCTCCAGGTAAAGACTTCATTATACTTTCCCACTTTTAGTAGCCCTGATTACTGGGAGCAAGGGGGAGACCTTCAATCAAATAGCTGTTTGCCTTCCTGTGGGCAGCCAATTTGAAGGCATGCCTGAACTTTTTGGTGCATGTAGATTGGAGGCAGAAGCTTGGGCGGGGAACTTGAGGGAATTAAGACAATGGTGTACAGACAGGAAGAGGCCCAGTCCCTCGAAGTGGCTGAATGAGGCTCTGAAGACCTGGCAGGTGCTAAATGGCTCATCCCTGCAGTCACACCTGCCCCAGCTGTCCCTAGTTGAGTCACTCAGCAACACTAAAGCTTGGTGTGCTTCCTGGCTGTTGTCTCAGGTTGCCCTGTCTACACTATGGCTCCAGACAGCCTTCTCCTCCTTCTGTAAATCTGTTCCCACCGGAAGCCAACAGGCTGTGTGACCCTGGGCTTGGGTGCCAGGCCCTGGTCAGTGCAATGGGTACCATGCAGGCCTGCCTGTTCTGCCTCTCTTTTCACCTCACAAGAAGGAGAAAGCAGCCTGCTGAGGCTTCTGGGAGTTGCCAGTCCCTGGGCTGCTCCTGGCTTCATGAAGGTGCAATGTTGACAGCTGTCTAACTGACAAAGGGAAGCAACTTGGGCAGAGGCTGGGGTCCGCAAGGTGCTGGGTGCTGTGGGCACCTGGACTGCGGGACTAGAAGAGTTCCTAGAGATAATCTGGGTAAGGCTCCTTGTCTTACATGTGTAAACACCAAGATTAAATGAAAAGTCAACCTTCTTGCCAAGTAATTTGGATGTCAACTGGTTAGAACAGGACACGGGCATTTGTATTGGTTTTTATTTATAAACTGACATAAAATAGTTCAGATGGCAGTGGGGGCAGCAGTGCTGCTGGCTTGCTTAGGAGGAAGCACAGAAGCTAGCAGAGGGCAACCCCTCCAGCCTGGAGGTCCTCCGTCCCACCTTGGGGCCATGGCCTAGAAGCATTAGGCCCCATCTTTTGCAGCAATTCTGAACAGGGCAGGGAGCTGTGATGTGGGCAGGGTGGTGGGAAAATACATCAAAGAGAGAGAGACTGGGGCTACAGAGGGCCTAATGTGGGAAGAGGGACCCTCACCTTTCCATGCCCAGTCAGCCATATGCCTCTGTCCATCCCAGAGAGAAAGAGCCCTAGGGCAGTGTCCTCTGGAACAGGGTCATACTTCTCTGGAGAGGCCTTCTCTGGAACACAGAGGGTGGTCTCCTTCCCAAAAATGTCTGGTGCAAGAAAAGCATGAAGTCCAAGTGCCAGAAGTAATAAATTAGCAACAAGAAAGGAGCTTTTAAAAAAAGGTCTGCACCATAAGTTCAGAGTCTGGGGATCTGGTGAGAAGGCATGAGCTGGGGGCCATGGGACCCTCTTCCAAGCCCTGGGGCCTGGGTGTCAGGGCCTTTCAAGACCCTAGAGTTGGCCTTTTCCTCCATCTCTTTGCAAGGTGCTCAGTCTAAACTTGTGGGGAGTGGCTTGGCAAGCCTTGAGAAATAAATAGGAGGGGCCTGGGAGCCACAGCAGGCCATAGGGGAAGAGCAGCACCAGCCCTAGGCCCACACTCTTCCCTCCTCAGTCCTTCATGGAAGGACACATCATGGTAGGAGGGGCAGTAGTGGTGGTTCTCCAGCCTTCTGGAGTCCTGAGGTCACCCAGAGCCCTATGGAGGTGCCTGGGAGCTGGCTGGCGGCTTCCGGGGAGAAGAATGCCTCCTGTTCAGAACTTGCCCTGCTTCAGCCGGTCAATGTGAAAGGAGAGCTTGAGGGCGGGCCCCAGCTTCAGGCCCATGTACTTCATCATCACGTCACTGCGCAGCAGGAGCAGGGCCTTGCCATCGATCTCCTGGGGTGGGGAGGAGCCACCATCAGATGCCTGGTTGGTCTGACTGCCTCAGGTGCCAGTGATGACCCAGAGCAGTGCAAGGCACACAGAGCAGTCAGGCTGCCAGGATCTTGAAGCCTGCCTGCCTTTTCATCTCCCTGGCGCTCTATGCACATCTCTCCAGACAGGCACTCCTCCCACCTTGCCCTTCACTGCTGCTTTCCTGTCCTAGGCCTCTGAGAGGCCGTGCAGTGAGTGCACCTGTGCCTTCTGTTTTGCCATCTACCCTCAAGATACACTGTGCACTGAGCCACAGTCGGCCTCTTGGGGGCAGTGGTGACTTTCAGGCTTGCTCTGGAGTCCTTGCAAACACACTTACCTAAAAGATTTCTGTGGTCAGTGAAGGGGCAGACTTTGTAACCACAGGAAGGCTGGCACCAAGCAGCACAGAGGTAGGGAAATGGGTGTGAGCCCTAAAGTTGGGGGTGTGGTCAGAGCAGGAAGAGCAATGCTAGGCATTGGTCTCTTGAAGGGAGCACCTGGCTCACAGGTCAGCAGAGGAGGGGACTGGTGATAAGGAGGCAGGGGCTCCTTTAACTTAGGCTAAAATCCTTGAATCTTGTAACAAAGCAGATGGAGTAAGGTACTCTTGGGAAAAGATAGACCCCTCTAACCTAGAACTGAGCCCCAAACCACAAATCCAGTGGGAATCTGGCTCAATGAAAGCCTATGCTAAGAGTCTGAGGTAAACACAGCACCCAGTGGGGTCTGCTTGAGATAGCATCATGTATGTTGTTTCAGTGGACATAGAACACAGCCACACCCTTTAAGATTGAGAGGTTACCACACATACAGGAGGTCAGGCAGAGGCACTTACGTGTTTTCGGAAGAGGTCAGCATGGGGTCCGAGCTGAGGATCTGCTTCCCGGACAAACTGCATCACATCTTCCACTGACCATGAAGAAGGGTCCCGCCCACTCAGGCGAGGGGCATCTCGGCTCTCCAGATACCGATCTGACCCTGAAGGACAGAAGGGCACCTATCCATAATGCAAGTAATGACCACTGGTCCATTCCCACTAGCCTCCTGGCACACTCCATGGCCTCAGAGGTGATGCTCACAGTGACATTCAAGTGGTAAGAGATAATTGGAGGTTGCCCATGGAATGAAGACTTTTTCCATAGAGAATTCACAACTTTGTTCTGTAATGCAGGTCTGGTTTTGGGGAATTTTTCACGGGCAGTGAATCACACTGAACCCGAGGGAGGTATCAACAGGCTTCCTGGGTTTGGTGGCGGGGCAGGAAGAAGTGGGTACTTATTTTTGTCTTGGCTTTGGGGACCAGATAAATAATGGTTTTTGAGTGAAGCAAGAGCCAGTTCTTTGGGGACTGGAGATAAAACTGACAGAGCAACAGAGCATACTCTGGGTCCTCTCCTAAGCCTGGACTAGGCAAAAACTTTTTGCCTTGGCTGCTAGGAATCTCAGTATTTATTTAGGGGTCTGTTTGCAGCTTTTTTTTTTTTTTTTTTTAAATCTCAATCATGGTTGAAACACAGCTCTTCTACTTTCCCTGTGTGACGTGGGTCTGACTGCTTTGGTTATCTACCATTGTAGATCCCTTGTGCATGTATTCCCTCTGCCCTCCTTCCCTCTATTCCTTCAGCTTCTCCATTTCTTCAGGCAAACTCCAGCTTAGCTAAGGAGGTCTTGGCTCCAAGGACCAGATCCTTTCTGTTTCAATGCTGAAATAAATGGTCCCTCAGAGCAGTAATGGAATCTTGTCAGTTCCCTCTGATTCACTGCCATGGCCTCCCATTGTCCAGGGAGGGGAACCTGAATTCCTACAGTGCTGATGGAGCGGAGTGAGGTTCACCTCACGTCACACTCCATACTGATCTGCCCCTACTTTCCCACTCTGGAACAAGCTAACTCGTCTTCTGACTTGTCTAGAATGTCCTTTTCTAACCTGACTCTTCACATTTGCACCTGTCTCAGTTACCTGCCTTCTCTGATCTTGTTACTCTCGGTCGGTTTACCATGGGCACATGTCACACCATTATACTCTCATGCACTCATTTATTTGGTGTGCATTAACTGTGCCCCCTATATAGAATGTAAGTAGTACCATGTTCCTTACACATGAAAGAGTAACTGGTCTGACACACTGATGCCTGAGTATGTTTCTCAGTGAGGTGAGGTGACTAGCTAAGATTACCCAGCAAAGAAAGAGAAGAGTTAGTTCTATATCCTTGATTTGTCTGTTCCTTTTTCTGTAGAGAGCTGACCTCCCTGCAGTGACAAGGGGCCAGGTTAGCACACTTGTATCTGATCCTCTGGATTAAAGAAATAAGAAAGGGAAAAGACTCAAATTCTTAATTTTTTGAAACAAGCAATCTATAGCTTATCAGATTGGATCCTCCAGTCTTAGAGGTTCTTCATGGACAAAAGAGTTCTGAGTATGAGCTGGCAGAGATTCATGATGTGCTTGAAGCTGAGAGCCCAGAGCTAGTAGGAGAGGCAGCCTATTACTGTGATCCCTGCCAGACAGGACCTTGCCTTGGTGGAGATGGAAATACAGTAACTCACCACATACCTGGGGAATGACTTCGTTTCCAAAATGATTCCATGTCCCTCCTTTCATTTGTTCCTTTTAGCACTCCTGCGGAAAGACCAGGCTGAGATGAGAAATTCTATTCTTCATGAGGAACACTCTGCAGATGGGAGACCTGAGCTGAGACAACTTACTCAAGCCTCAGGCTGATGAAGCTGAGGGAGCCGCGTCTCAGCTCCACCTCTACTTGACAGTTTTCTACTTCATTTAGCCTCTCTCCAGGGCTGGGGTAGAACACAGGCTTCTTCCTCTGTCTCAGTCCTTATGAAAGCTCTCTTCAAAGTCACCTCTCACTTCTTGTATTGGAATCTTTATTTTTCTACACTTCACATACCCTGGGCTGGGGGAAACCAGGCTAGGGTTTGAGGATAGTATCCTCCTGGCTTCCTGTTGGTGTTCTAGACCATCCTTCTATGAAACTTAGAGGCTAACCCTATATGCAACCACCTGCTCTTTCTGGCCACGATTATCAATAAATCTCTGTGTTGCGTTCCCTTATTAAATGAAGACTTCTGGTGCTTGGCTCACCCCTTTCTGTCCCACCCCAGCTCCTCCTGCTCTCTGGGAGGCAACCCACTGACCTGTCTACAACAGCGGCAGTGCTCTCACCTCTCTTCTATGTCAGACACCACTGCTAAGGCCACTGGCTGGTGCTTATCAGCATTTGGAACAAATGCTTCAGAATTTTAAGTACACTCTTCTCTGACACCAACTGCTCGCCTTTCCAGCTTGCTTGAGAGGTACCCCCCAGAGCTACTCCGTTACAATGCTTAGCTGTCAGTGAGCCTGACTGCTCTCCCTCCAGCCCTGCTGATTCTTTTATGTGAAGTCCTACTCTCCTGTACCATTTTCTCTCCCGGCTCTTGTCTTTCTAGCTCACCAGAAAGTCCTGAGTCCCAAACTGTCTTGTCTCACCTCATATAGAAGACGCTAAGAAACAAAAGAAAACCACAGCTCTTGAAAACTAGTTTCTGCCCACTGCTGGCCCCTGAGGTTTCTTGTAAACCTTCTTTTCTTGACCCGCCATATCTCATCTTCTGGAGGACTGGTCTAGTCTTTCAGACTCATAAGGTCTTCCCTACGCAGTCTTTCCTCTGTTCACGGACGGCTGCCAGAGAAGGTGTATCTACTAATCGGTTTGCCTGTGCTCTGAACTCTTACTACTTCCCACCATTCCTTTCTCCTTTGCTATCATCCTAACGTCTCAGAAGTTCAAGCTGTCTGTTGACAAACATGCCCAAGTGCTCCATTCTGTAAGAATTTCTTCAGACTCACAGCTCTCTCTGTTCTTTATTTTAAGTAAATTCTCCCTCAATATTTCATTAACTCATGGCAATCTGCCTTCCCAATGTCTCTAGATAAGATTATCAAATTCTACCTACCAATTATTGAATCTTGCAGATATTCCTCAGGCCTGATGCTACTTGAATACTCTTGGATTGTCCAGCCACCATCCAATCAACTTTCCTTCCTCCTCATACTGAATGCATTTCCTCCTGTGTCCACTTCTGTCCCCGTTTCTACCTTTCGAACTTTGCCTACTAAGACTCCACCTTTGGTAAGCTGCTCTTTTCATCCTTTATTTCTGGGAATTTGTCCACTGTAAAGTTTCAATACATGGATTACTATTAAACACTTAACTTCAGCTCTGTACTTTTCCTAAGATTACTCACGGTACCCCCTCTCTTCCATTTCTAGGTCTTTCTTAGTGAATGGCACCCCATTTAGCCTCCTACATCTAGGTAGTTAAACCTGGGAGACGGTTGCCACTTCATCCTTCCTCACATTTACCTCGTGAGTAGTTGCACATATACCACTGTCTGATTTTCAGGCCTTTCTCATGGCTGTCTCTGGTCCATCCTTTTAACTTCCTAACTGCTCTGTCAATCCAGCATTCAGTGATACTCAAACAGAGTTCCCTTTGTACCTTGCTTCTGATTAGATGCCACTGGTAATTTAACTCTGCCAAAATGATCAACTCCAAATTCCTTAGTTTGAAAGTTTTCAATAATATAAGCCCTGACAATTTCATACTATCAATTGTGTATCTTTATTGATTTACAAGTATCTTTTAAAAGTTTGTCTTCTGTATAAGACATTTAAAAAGGTAATTTGTATTCTTCTCACACAAAATACAAATGGTATCCAAATAAATGACTAAGGGCTGGAAGAATAAATCCTTGCCTGTCCCTTTTAGTTCTAGGTATCTGGTTCCCAAGTTATGTTTTTTTGTTTCTTTGTTTTGTTGTTTCAAACCAAGCCCAGAACACCAGTTACATGCCAGATGGTTGGGGAAGGCACAATACTGAGCATAGCTCCAGTCCCAATACCATGCAGTAAGTAGGGCAGCAATGCTCGTTTCCTTTTGAACTCTCTGAGCCCAGGAGCAAGGGAAAGGGAAAGGAGTCATGAGAACCACAGAACCCTGATCAGCTTACCCCTGGAGCAGAGCCTACGCACAGCTGAGGCAGTGCTCAATGGGAGGCCACAGGAGGGAGCCAAGGGCCGATAACCAGGACTTCGAATGTTCTGGGAGGTGCCGACAAGGCTGGCAGGCTTCAAGGCAGTGTCCATCAAGTCTGAGTGTGTCTCCAAGGACCGGGCCAGGCTATTCCCCAGGGCGAAGGATTCACCTGGAAAATAATAAAACCAGGATTAAAGTGAGGACTAGCAGAGTGCTGCTGGCTACAGGTACTTGCCTGAGTGAAAACAGGCAGCAAGACATAAAGTCCTCTGCTTTGATAAAGACCCCAGTGAACGGTTATACTTTTGGGAGATTTTTTAAAAAATAATGTTGCCCTTTTTTAAAGATTTTATTTATTTATTAAGTATACAGAAGAGGGCACCAGATCCCATTACAGATGGTTGTGAACCACCACGTGGTTGCTGGGAATTGAACTCAGGACCTCTGGAAGAGCAACCATTGCTCTTAACTTCTGAGCCACTTCTCCAGCCTTTCTCTTGGGGGATTTTTGGTAGTCATTTTATTGAGAGGTCTCATGGATAAAATGCCCTCTTTTTTTTTTTTTAAAGTTAAAATCTGTCTTCTTACAAATTGGTCCCCATGCTCTACTCTCTGTACTCCAAAAGAACAATTCTGAGTCCTTCCTGTCTTCCCAGACTTCCCTGGGAGTACTTGCTACGGTGATTTTTCTCCATACTCCTTTCCCATCCTCTCCCTTTCTGGCTACCTTTCACTGGAAATGCTTATAGAGAATGCTGTGCACTAAGATACATGGGGAGAGAGGCTGTGAGCCCAGGACAGGGGTCTCATCTCTGCCCACTGACACTTGGAGAGCAGCAGCACACACTCACTCTCCAGCATCACCACAGAAAGGGTAATTTACATTAACCCGATATGACTAGAGATTTTCCATCTCTTTCTTAATTGATGAGCAAGCTGATGCCCAGGACAAAGCACAATGGAGATGGATAAATGATCATGCCAGAAACAGAACTCAAGTCTGTGAGTCCTCAAACAATGGCACTATTTCCCCTAGAAGGTAACAGTCAAGAAATTTCAAAATGGCAGACCTAGAAGTTACTCTATGCAGATTTCACTTATAGCTAGTGTTAATGTCCACAGCAAGTAGCTGAAAAAAATTTCCTGCCTCATATTACCACCTCTTCAGGGAGTCCCCAGGAGCTCTTTAATGTAGCCCCCACTAGTCTGGCACTTGACTTAGAGCAGCACATGCAGTCCTGTAGAAGAGGCACTACCCTACGCTGCCTCCTCCAGGAATCCTCTCATCCACTCTCTTTCACAAGTGGCTGGGCTGGAGCATCACTACTCCATGCTCTTAACCCGTCTCTTCCCTCTTAGCTTTCAGGGTGCAGAGGTTCAGTCTGTCTTATCTCGGTCTTCTAAAATCCAGGATAGACTGTAGTAAACAGTGATAATTTAATGACCTTTTGGGTGACCTAAAGCCAAAATGCCTGGATTGAGTCCTTCAAAAGGCCAATGCAGTCAGAGAAGACAGAAAGAGTAGAGAACGGCTCTAGATAAAGGAAGCTTAGAGTCAGGACAATGAAATGCACCCAACAATCTTTTATTTGATCCTAAATTAGAGACAATAAAACAAAAAACAGCTATAGAGGACAATATTGAGACAACTTGGGAAATTCTGATCTGGATGGAATAGTAGCCCAGGAGTGTTTTATTTACATTAAATTTATTGAACACAAAAATATTATCCTTTCTGTTTCCCTTCTATCCTTATTCTCATCCATTCTCCTTCCTTCCCTTCTTTCCCCCTCTTCTTTCTCTTTCTGATATAGGGTTTCACTGTGTAGCTCGGCTACCCTTTAATTTGTGAACCTCTTGCCTCAAATTCCTATGGGCTAGAATTACAGGTAAGTGCCTATATGTTTTGTGCTCTAAAAGTATATATGTCACTCATGTGTGGTGTGTATACATAATACACACATACATACATACACACATACAAAGATATATATATATATATACATACACAAAATATTTTACCTAGCAGTTAACTGTTGTGTACAAAATAAACAAAAGCCATACACACACACACACACACACACACACACATTAAGTATACAGATACAAATATATCTGCAGAGAGACAAAGCTAAAAGCGACTCTTGGTGAAGGACTCATTTTACTTTTGTTGTTGTTGCAATTTCACTGTAGGTTTGAAAGTTTCTAAAATAAAGCAGTGAAAATAGAAATTGTTTCAATTTAGGTAAAGAAGCTTTAAGGGATATGTACTTTTGAAGGCTATCTGTTACATTGGAAGTACATGGTCAGCTAGGCAAAGTCCATAGAGGGAGGGAAGTGTGGTGGCAAGGTAGGAAGTGGGGAAAGGGCTCCAGTAAGCAACTCCATCAATATAGGTGGGACCCATGGATGACACATCAGTAGAAGTGTGTGACTATGCAGATGGGCAGGAATGGCAAAAAACAGGTTCAAAGAAAAGCAAAAGAGAGCTGATACTGATGGAGTTTTCTGCAGAGGGTAGATGTGTAATCAGGAAAATACAGGTGCTGATGAGATATCAGAGGTAAGACAGCAGGCAGGCAGGGAAGACAAGCTACAGAGCAAAGAGGAGTCAGAAGCCCAGACAAGGCCCTGGCTTGTCCGGGCACAGTTAAAATATTGCTTCTGAGAATCCAACGGAAGACAGGATGAGGCAGTGTGCTGAGAATTTCATGAGCAACTGAGCTAGGTGGGCAGAGGCAGTGCAGTCTGTGTGGAAATAGGGTAGAGAAAGGACACCCCTGTTCTTTGTCTTTTCTTGTAGCTGGTGAGGCAGGAGCAGAGTCTGGATGGAGCTTGCTTCTTTTATCTGGTACTGAATTAGAGAGATACAAACCAGAAGAGAAGTCCCAGGAAAGGCTGTGCCATGACTGGAAGCCTATTGTGGGAATGTTCTCAGTAGCCTCTCAATACTGCTGCCAAAGTACTTTCCTTAGTTCCTGAAGGACAGCATTTTGTTTAAAAATTCTGAGTTTCTGTTTCTTTGAGCAGCTGCCCCACTGGACACAAACCTTCTCTTTCAGACTTCTAGCAAGGCCTTTCAATAGGAAGCAGAGCCCAGGGCTCCTGAATGACAGTGACTGACAACATTTAACACTTTGTCTTTGTCTGTACCAACTCCATCCTATCCAGTACAACATTTTAACTCAAGGCTGTTTTACGGGTTCTGATGCTGAACAAAGCCATCTACAGCAGGTAGTTTAAGAAGTTCCCTGTGAAGGAAAGAACCAGCCGAGGAGCATGGTACAGCCCCAGGACCACATGTTGGCTGCTTGCCACTGCATATGAGGAATTTAGGTATCTTTTTGCCCCTAAACACACCAGCAGTTCTCATGTGGTCGCAGAAGTATAAAGGGTCAGAGGAGGAAACTGGGTGTGTGGTCACTTCCCTGAGCACATTCTCCAGAAGCGATACTTTAGTCACAAGTCATGAAAAGATCAAGGAAGGGAGTGTGAGGCTCATGTAGAAGATCCCAGAGCACCTCTCAGACTCAGATTCACCCCCACAGCAAACAGAATAGCCAGTACCTCCTCTCCACCCAGGACACCATCTACAGGTCTCTTTTAAAGAGAAATTCTTTCCTCTTAACAGCAACCTACCTCTCTATGTTTGTGACCAAGCTTGTCCCCCTCCCTCGATTTTGCGTCCTGTACTCCAGATCAGAGATGCCGAGCTCCACTCACTCTTCAAGCTCTCTTGGAAGTGCTTAGTCACTGACCCAGCCACGTGGCATCCGCTTTCTCATTGTGGGTCTGGTATGGTTACCTAAAAAGTTATTTTCCAGCCTAGTTGGAAATAGCAGGAACTTGAACTGACTTGTTAGACTGGCAATGCTAGAAGAGTTAGGGCCATGTGCCAAAGAAAAGAATGGATGGCCAATCAACATGGAGCAACTTTCTCAACCTCTAGCCTAAGACTAAACCTTGTTGCTGGTAAAGGAGAGCTGTATGAGGCCTTTGATGCCAGATTCACTCTGGGAGATGTGCTGGGACTTCATGGGCTCCATACTACAGATGGAAATCATAGGGCAACTTCTAGAGATAGGGGTCCAGAGGAAAGAGAAATTCCAGAGTGACAGCAAAATCCTGAAGAGCTAAGATGACTGAAGACTAAAAGCCTTAGATGTGACCCAGATGTGGCAAGGGATCTCTGGACAGTGGGTGCTAGACTCGCAGACCTGAGGGCTGCCCCTGAGCCCTTGCAGATGCTACTGATTGCCCAGCCCCCTTGCAGCCCAGGCCCCATCCCAGCTCCTACCTGGTAGGTACCTGTCGTGGCTGTGGCTGTACTCTGTGGCAGTGAGTGGTAAGTGAGTCTGTGTAAAGGGCTGGTTGCCAAACAGATTGTCACTCCGAAGGTTGTGGCAGAGCTTCTCCAGGAAGCGAAGGACATAGGTGATGCTGTTGACTGCTGGGAGGTTGAGGGTGTGCTGTTCCCGGTCAAACATGGCTGTGGAGTTAAGTAAACAAAGCAAGTCAGTTGTGCAGTGCAGTGCTTGCCAGAGAAGCCCAGCTCACTGCTTGTTTTGGGATTGGCTGGTTACACAGAGGCAGTGCCCAGGCTGCTTGCCAGTCTGTCTTCTTCCTGCCGCCCTCCCTTGCTCAAGGGTTTTGATTTTTGCTTCTAGCTCCAAAGGGTGTACAATCAAGGGAGTGGCCAGGCCAAGTCTGTTGCACCCTCAGGGCTTTGGAATGATTTCACTCAACTGTGAAAACAACTATGAACATAATGCTATCTGCTTCATCACCTGGCTGAGCTTCCTTCAGGAAATGTGTTCGCCCAGGGTGCTATTTTCACTAGAAAACTGCCCAAGAACAAGTAAGCTGTACAGAAGGGAATACTGCCATTGGTAGTAAGGGCTTAGGTAAACAATTTCCAACTTATATGAGGACACCAGATTTGGGTAACACTTAGAAATGTTTCATGCTTTTTTTTTTTTAGTTTATGTCCTATTAAAAAATATTGGCATAATTTTTTAAAAGCAAAATAGTTCATGCAATTGTCTTTGGCGGAAGTGAGAAAACAGAGATCTGGGGAGAAGATTCACTCTAGGAAAGTTCTGAAAAGGAAGAACTCTAGGTAGGTAAGGAGCTCAGACCCTGCACAGTGCTGGGAGTGCAAGGAGAGGCCAGAGAGTAGTCTGGGCCTCAGAAGGACAGGCTTAATGTATCCATAGTTCCCATTCTCCATGCAGCCAGTTATTGCCTAGACTTGACTCCGTAACAAACAGTTCTCTGTTGACGCCCTTCCACAGACTATTTAAATTTTCTTTTCTACTAGTGTGGATCTGAGCCTGTCATCTTCTGTTTTCCTTTTCCTGGCCAGTGTGTGGCAGAAACCTCTGACATATAGTAAAAGGTCAACAGGTATTTGCTAAAAGAACAGTTTGGCTGTTTATGCTCCCTGCCAGCTGTTTTCTGAAGCCAGTTACAACAGCTTGCTAAGGAGGAGAGGCAGGAGGCTGTACAGCAGCATTAGAGTAAAGACCGGAAGGCTGCAAGTCAAGCCTCTGTAGGCTTGGTGGGTAAAAGTAAGATTTCGAACTTAAGAAAATTGAAACAGAAACCGGCACAGCAAGAAAGTATTTTCAGTTATAACAAAAAGTACTGCACTGTTAAACTCATTTTCCCCCTGGCCTGGGACTCATTTCCCTTGTATGGATCCTATAAACCCAGAAGCTAAGGAGGCAGAGGAATGAGAGGAGGTCAGAGGTCTTCTGAAACTACTTGGGGAAATTCTCTTGTGGCAACAACACAGCCCATATGTAAAGCCTTCCTCTAGAATGGCTTTAAGCCATATACTCATATATTCTGTGGGGACAGGAGAGGACTCTGTTCAAAGGCTGTGTTAGGCAGTTGGCTATTCTTGGCAGAGATGTATGGCGTACACCATCTATGGCACATAGTTCAGAAAGTCTGGAGCAGGAAGTAAGGACTCTTGAGGAAAGGGGTACTTCTGCATTCTCCAGAGTGGATAAATGAACTTGGAACTAGGATGTCTCATCAGAATGAAGGCCTGCCTCTCTGGCTAGGAGGCCAAGCCAACCTGAAAGTGTTTACCTGAGATGACCTCACCGCCGTGGCCCTGTTTGAGGAAGCTGAAGACGGTTTTCTGATGATAAGCACAGTCAATGCAAGCCTGGACAGCCTGCTGTAACACCACGGAGGCACGGGCTGGCCCGAAATGATCAGGAAGTCGTTGGATCTTCTTCTTATCCAAGTGGGGGCCTGTGCTGCCACTCTTGTTCAAGTAGATACAAACTACAGGAAACAAAGAACCCAGAAGCCTTACAGTGTGCCTGGCAGAGAGAAGTCAGAGTGCAGCTCTCTCTTCTCTCTGCTCAACTCTGGACTTGGCTCGCCTGAGTTTTCCCCACAACTACACTGCAAAATACTGTGGGTGATAAAGGGAGGTTTGGAAAACTGCCACTAGTCTAAGCTGCATGATCAAGGTCTCTGGAGACACAGCCTATTAGGAGAAAAATCCAGAACAGAAACCAAAGCACAGAACTTGTGTTTTGTTTTCTGGGCCCTGAAAAGAAAATATAAACTCTGCTTTTTCCCAGAACTTTCTAAGGTGAATCAGACAAACAAGCGAAGAGACAGCCGATAGCATTGTGGAAATTAGACAGCAGATTGGTGAGGTAGCCACTGACTTAGCAGACTCTAAGAAGCTTTGTGTCCCAAAGCAGGAAGGAGACTGACTTAAAGACAGCTGATTGGCAGAATAAAGGTGCTATGGAATGGCTATAAGGGTCAGGCTATGAAAAGAAGGATCAATATAGGTCTGCTAAGAAATAGGGACCCGGGGAATATAGAGATGTCCAGTGGATAAAGTGCTTGCTGTATAAGTTTGAGGATTGGATTTAGGATCACAAGAACCCATGTAAATGCTAGGTAGGCATGGTGGACCACCTATAACCCAAACAGTTGCAGGGCAGAGAAAGGAAATTGCTGGAGATAGCTATCCCATATTGGTGACCTTTGGTTTCAACTGAGAGACCCCGCATCAGTGAATACGGTAGAAAGAGATCAAAGAGGACTATTGGCCTCTCCATGCACGTGTGCACATGTGTGCACACACATACACACACACAAATACTACACAAATATACATGAAAAATAAACAGGATATAGTGGCAAACATTTCTAATCCGAGCATTTAGGATGTTAGGCATGATTATGAGTTCAAATTTAAGAAAAACAACAATAACAAAAAAAACCCCAAAAAGTAAATAAAAGAACCTGGGTGGTGGTTGCACATGCCTTAATCCCAACACTTGGGAGGCTGAGGCAGGTGGATCTCTGTGAAATGGAGGCCAGCCTGGTCTACAAAGTGAGTTTCAGGACAACCAGGGCTATAAAGAGAAGCTCAGTCTCAAAAAACAAACAAAAAACAAAAGTTAAAAAAAAAGTAAAAAAAGGATTTTCATGTTTGGCGGTGTTGCCCTTGTACCGAAATGGCTAAAAATGGAGGGACTCAGCGACAAGACCCTTAACACAAATGTTCATAGCAATTAATATACAACAATTTCAAAACCATCTCAAGTTCCCATCAGCAGGAGAATGAACACACAAACTATGGTATGTTTGTTTAATGGAATACCAACTGGCAGAAAGAAAACCTTGATCTATAGATAGGTACAACAATATAACTGCCTTTCAAAATTTTTGAGTGAAAGAAATCAGATACAAGGGTGCAAACACAGCATGGCTAATTTATATTAAATTCAAGATCTGCAAAATCTAATTTATGATAAAAATATTTCAATCACAGTGGAGACAGAGACCGACTACAAGGAGCCTGATGGAACTTCTGGGGTAACAGAAGTGTCCTATGTCTTGATCTCAGGGGGAGGATGGAGGAATTACACAGGTGCTGACATTTATTAAAATTCAGCAAATTGACTGGGTGGTGATGGCACATGGTTTTAATACCAGCACTTGGGCAGCAAAGGCAGGCAGATTCCTATGAGTTTGAGTCTAGTCTGGTCTACAGAGCTAGTTCTAGGACAGTCAAAAATACACAAAGAAACCCTGTCTTAAAAAACAAAACAAAACAAAAACAAAATAAAATTCCACAAATTGTATATGAGTATACAATATATTTGCAACCAAGATTTGTATATTTCACAGATGTAAGTCTTATTTGATTATTCTAATGGTGATTTTGAAATGAATTTTATGTGGGTCATATGGTGAAACACCAAAGGCCAAACTACGCAACCTTCAGAAGACTGTCGATTTTAGACATGCATCTTATTGTTCTCTGTCACACTTGACCAAAAGGCAGCAGTAGGCATGACACTGTGCCAGTTTCTGCGTCTAGGATTAAGAAATTAGCAGTTTCTATGTCTTGTTTTTGGTATATTTATTTTTCGATCCCAACTATTTATTATGTGTAAGAAAACAAGTCATTTTGCAGAGAGGTTAACGTGGAGAAACAGGCAGAACCAATATGCCATGTGGGAAAGTAGATCTCCAAACCTAGTCAGCTCCTCTTCCCACCTGGCACTGTGTGCAATACATGAGCTGTCTTCACACAGTAAGCCCTTAGTGTTTCAAACTAGAAAGTTTTGTAGTGGTTTGTCATATAGCAAAGGCTTATCAGAACAGATTCTGATACAAGATGCTTTAGAAACAAATGCCAAACACACGTCACAAGCTTTGGAACCAGATGGCAGAAAGCACCACAAGCAAAGTACCAGTGGGAACTCAGTCTTAGGGTAGTTGTTATTTTTTCTTTAGTGCTGGGGATCAAATCCAGGGCTTCATACAAGTTAAGCAAGTGCTCTACCACTGACTACATTCCTAGCCTCTTTAAGAGTTTTAATGGAAGCCTAAAGTTTCCCAGAAGGCTACCCATCCAGGGTTTAGAAGAGTGGAGACAACAGTAACTGAAGAGTGAAGGATGGGGCACAAGTACTAGGAAGGAACTGAAAGTCTGATATGACTGTTGCCCATAATAGCATAAGACAGGAAATGTACTTAATGAGCTCAATGAAAGAGCTAAGATTTTAAAAGTCATCAAAATGATACCTGCCTTCTTGCTGCTTATGAAAAAAGTAAGATTGCGATAAAATCCTTTATTAAGAGGTAAGAAAGGTGGGGTATGGCGGCATATATCTTTAGTCCCAGCATTCATAACAGAGACAGGTGAATCTGAGTATGGTGCCAGTCTGGTCTACATCATGAGTATAAGTGAGACTTTGTCTTCTCAAAAACAAACAAACAAACAAACAATCAAAAAAGGTCTAAGAATATGCTTCATAGACTTCTTTCAGACCAAAGATTTTCTAAGGAATTTGCTAAGGGAAATCCTTGCAGACTCTTTTCTTTATACAACAAGATTAATTTTTTTCTCTTAAAAAGTATTTTATTTAAAATACAATTACATAATTAGCCCCCTCCCAAAGTTCTCTCTCATGTCCCCTTCCTTCCATTCCCTCTCAAATTCATAGCCTTTTTCTTTAATTATTAAGATTCTCCAGGGTACTTTTAGTTGTATCTGCAGAGGAAGTAAACCCTGATGTTATTCAGAGAAACCCTCACTCACACTGCTAAGAAAGCCTAAGCTATCATTTTGTTAGAATGATCGCCAACATGAACTTTAGAAGGTTCAGAGACATACAAAATGGAGAACATTTGCTCCTCCAGCCCCACATCTTCTTTTTATTCTTCTCTCATATATTACAACCCAACCACAGTTTCCCCTCCCTCTTCTCCTCTCATCCCCACCCCCACCGCCCCAGATCCACTCCACCTGTTTCCCTTCAGAAAAGGGCAGGCCTCCCAGGGATACCAACCAAACATGGCATATCAAATTGCAATAAGACTAGGTGTCTAACTACAGTCCCAGAGGATCTGACACACTCTTCTAGTCTGTATAGGTACCATACACACATGTAATACACAGACACATACTTGCAGGTAAATATCCATATACATAACCTACCTCCACTGAGAGGTGAGCTCTGATTAGGGATTCCTTATTACTGAATTTAGGTTTTGTGGCAGACTGATCAATAGAATATGGTTGAAATGATGCCATCTATGCTAAGTTTGGGGCTTGGGCATTAGTCTCTTTCTAACCATATTCTATTGATAGTGTGTATTGTGGCTAGGACAAGTTGGAGTTCTCTGGGAAGAGGTATCTCAATTGAGAAAATGCCTCAATACGACTGGCCTACAGGCAAGTCTGTAGGGCATTTTCTTGATTGATGATTGGTGTGGCAGGGCCCAGCCCATTGTGAGCAGTGCTAACCCTGGGAAGGGTAGGTACTGGATGGTATAAGAAAGCAGGCTCAGTAAGCCCTGAGGAGCAGGCCACTTAATCAGCATTCCTATATGGCTTCTGCTTCAGTTCCTACCTCCAGGTTGTTGATCTAACTTCCTTTGAGGGTGGACAGTGATGTGAAAGTGTAAATCAAACAAACCCTTTCCTCACCACACAAACCCTTTCCTCACCACGTTTCTTTTCACCAGGCTGTTTTTTGTTTTGTTTGTTTGTTTTTGAGACAAGGTTTCTAAAGTACAGCCCAGGCTGTCCTGGAATGTACTTGGTAGACCAGGCTGACCTTGAACTCAGAGATCTGCTCACCTCTGCAACAAGGTGTGTGCTCACTACTACTGGGCTTAGTCAGGACATTTTATCACAGTAATAGGAAACTTTAAGTTAGGATGATCACAGTATCAGTCAACTCTCTAGATAGAAAGAGTACAAGGCCGACATGGACAATACTCAAAAGATTGTCTCAAAACAAAGCACCAATAAACAAACTAAATAAAAACCCATAAACAAAACTAAAATAATAAATGTTAAAAGAAGTCAGGTGAAAAAAAATCATCTTACCCATAGGATAATAGAAATTATGCAAGCAGAAAAAAATAGAAGGAAATATATAAATTATTTTGAGAGAAGCCTCTACCAACCTAGACTTCTGAACCCCATGAAATTCTCCTTTAAATGTGAAGGAGAAATAAAGATAAAGAAAAATCAAAACAGTATCTCTCAAGAAATTTTTTTTTAATATTTACTTATTTATTATGTATACAATGTTCTGTCTGTGTGTATGCCTGCAGGCCAGAAGAGGGCACCAGTCCTCATTTCAGATGGTTGTGAGCCACCATGTGGTTGCTGGGAATTGAACTCAGGACCTTTGGAAGAGCAGGCAATGCTCTTAACCACTGAGCCATCTCTCCAGCCCCCTCTCAAAAAATTTTAAGTCCTTTAGTAAGAGATGAAACAGATCAGAAACCTAGATTATAAAATAAGGAAGGGCTAAGGAGTGTAACTCAGTGATCTAATACTTGCTTACTACAAGACCCTAGGTTTGATGACCAAAACTATTGAATAAATAAATAAATAAATAAACGAAGAAAAGAGAGGAAAATAGGAGAAAGACTAAATAAAGACAATGTAAAAATTTTTTCTTAATTTACTAAAATTTATTCTCAATAACAATTATCAATAATATATTTGATTACCTATGCTATTATGTGAATATATATATACTTAAATAAGTGAAATGATTAGTATTAATGTCTTAGTAACTGTTCTATTACTGTGAAGAGAAACTATGACCAACACAACTCTTTTTTTGTAAGTATTTTGTTTTGCGACAGAGTCTCTCTACAGAGCCCTACCTGTCCTGGAATTCACTACTAGAGCCGGCTGGCCTTGAACTCACAGAAATACGCCTACTTCTGCACCCTGAGTGTTGAGATTAAAGGTGTGTGTCACCATACCTGGCCACAAAGGTAACTCTGATAAAGTATTTAATTGTGGGCTTCCTTACAATTTCAGAGATTTAATCTATTTTTATCATGGTGGCTCAAATAGTGCTGGAGCCGTACCTGAGAGCTACATCATGATTCACAGGGGATGGGAGGGAAGTGCACACCCGCGTGCGCACACACACAAGCACACAAAACACACACACACACACACACACAGCCTGAGTTCAGACAACCTGAGTTTAATACCTAGGACCCACAAAGTGGAAAGAGAAAACAGACTTCCTTTCTGCAGAACTGTCCTCTGATCTTCACACATGCACTGTGGCATATGTCAACACCAAGTATATAGATGAAAAATAAAACAGAACAACCAAAAACCCAAAACCCGGAAAACCAGATAGAACTACAAGGAATCAATCATTGTAGATGGAGACTTCAGCAACCTTCTATCAGAAATGAATAGATACAGCAGGAAAATAAAAATAAAATGAGCAAGAATATAACTGAAATCAACAGTACCATAAATCAACTGGCTATAATTGATATCAAGTAACTATTTTATCCAATAACAGTAGCTCAAGCTCACAAAGACCAGTGAGAAAGGCAGACCACATCCTGGGCTACAGAACACTTGAACAAATTTAAAACAGAAACTAAACAGTGTACTCTTTCATGTCACAGTAGAATTAAGATAGGAAATACCCAAATATGTGGTCGTTAAAACAACATATCCCTAAAAAACACATAAGACAAGTAAATAGTATGAGAAATTAAAAATATTTTATCTTAATCAATATGCAAAAAACATCTTACTGAAACCTGTGAGAAGCAAAGTACACAATGAAAAGATTTAGAAAAGAAAAATCCAAAGTCAATAATACAAATTTACACCCAAAGAAACTAAAAAAAAAAAAAAAAAAAAAAAAGGAATTAAACCCAGACTAAGCAGAAGAGAAAATTAGAGGAGAAACTAATGAAATTTAAAGAAAAAATAATTAGAAAAAAAACCCCAAAAAACCAAAAGTTGGTTTTGTGAAAAGATAAAGGGTATAACACCAGTAACTTCTATCAGAAGCGGTAAAGAAGAACACTGCTACATGTCATATATTAGTAAGAGAATAATGATATTATGAATCCCCCTGTTCCCTGGCTTTGGTGTGGATCCAGGGAAAACCTAGTTCTCCATAGCCATTTTCATTCTCTCCATATCTAGTCTATCCCCATTCCTTTGAGACTCCCTGCTGATGTAGAGAACCACTCTCTACAAGGGACACATAGTTGTCACACTTGGTTGGAATCCAAAACTGCTCTTTACCAGGGACCCCATAGATGCTATACTTGACTAGAACCCAGAATGGGGAAACAGCAATGAAAGAACAAAACACACTTGTAGTTGTTTGAAAGAAAATAGCCCCAAAAGGGAGTGGTAATATTAGGAGTTGTGGTTTTGTTGGAGTGGATGTGGCCTTGTTGGAGGAAGTGTGTCACTGTGGGGGTGGGCTTTGAGGTCTTATACCCAGTGTTTGGTTCACTTCCTGTTGCCTGCACAAGATATAGAACTCTTACCAGTCTCTCCAGCACCATGTCTGCCCCAATGCCGCCATATCACAACCTGATGAGAATGGACTGAACCTCTGAACTGTAAGCCACCCAATTAAATGTTTTCCTTATAAGAGTTGTCATGACTATAGTGTCTCTTCACAGCAACAGAAACCCTAACTAAGACAGCACCCACCCATCAAAGGTAAGGCTAGATATTTATACCCAGAAGCATCTCAAATGTCATAACACTAGCTGCCTATATCCCAGTGGAAACACAAACATGTACAACCAAGACAATACTTCTCCAGCAGAAGCCATCAGACCTATTGTAGTAGGCTCTGAGGACCTTGAAGTGGACATTACTAAATGCCTTAATGAAGACCATGAAAACAGAAAGAGTTCAATGAAATAATGAAAACAACTTAAGATCTGAAAATACAATTTAGGAAATAAATAGAACTGCTAAAAAAAAAGTCAAGTTGAAATAAAATTCAAAATGAAAAATTTAGGAAGTTAAACAAAAAAACCTCAGCAATGAAGGTTGAAGATGAAGACATAGAAGAGAGAATTTCAGGTCTTGAAGACAAAGGGAAAGAAATGGATATGTATATGCACTGAAGGTTACAGGTATTTTGCAGCTACCTTGGTAGGTATTTTATAAAATGGGGACACATATGACTTTTGCACATGCCAACCAGTGTATAACACACACACACACACACACACACACACACACACACACACACACACACACACACGTTGAATACCTATTCTCATCAGCTACCAGATTTTACTTTGAATCAATCATTCATTGTCTGGTACCCAAAGTAAAACTCATTTTCACTGTATCAAGGTTTGCCTCCACTAATGATTTTTTTTTAAACTCAGAAGCTTTTCATCTATATTGAAATGGTGGCAGCCTCATGCTACAAGGCTTCTGAAAGGTAAAAGGGACCATTAATAAGGAAATGACCCAACTAAGCAATTACTCTAAACGGGGCCAGCAAGCTTTGAATGTTTTCCTATTCTTTGCAACCGGCCCCAGTTTCACAGCTTTGAGTTCATAGAACAATTAATTACCCCAGTTTTTTTTTTCTTGTGTGTGTGTGTGTGTTTTCTTACTGCTCTGACAAAATGAAAGTTTTATATTTCAAAAGCTATAAAAGAATTTTTCTAAACCTAGGTTTACACATGGACAGGGTTAGTTATTGGTAGAAGACAAGAGGAGATGTAGACACTATGCCTCAGGGACCAACTGCAGCTAGTTCCATCCTCTGCTCTTACCTGTGGGGGCCTGCATGGCTGAACTGGGGATGGTGGCAGCATCTTCAGGAACAGTGCTGGTATCCGGTTCAGGGGTGCTGGTTGTTGGTGAGGTGGGTGGTGGGCTCAGCAAAGTCCGAGGTTTCCTCTGTTAAAATGGATGGGAAAAGTTTGCTACCTGTGCATGGTACTTTCTCTATTCCTAGCACTCAGTACACCCATGAAACAAACATATTTATTAATGGAACCACATTTTATTTGCTACTCAGTAACTGGCCCCAAAGTTGTACATATTGAAAGTACTTAATACATTTTCTGTTTAATGCACTTTGTTAAGACAGGGTTTCTCTGTAGTAATGCACTTTTATGCTAGATTCAGTATCATAAGAACTCTAAATCTTTTGTAAATTGGACAGATAAAAGCAGAAAGCATGCTATGGCTTAATGTTATTTTGTTTCTTTCTCTAAATGGAATTGGACCTTCTGACTCTACCAGATGCTTTCCTCTGCCCGCCCCCCCTTCAACTCATTACCTGCTATTCCTTCCCAGTCCCCAGTTAGACTTCTCTAAAACTCTACGGTTTTATCTGGCTCACATCTTACAATCTTAAGCTTTCTTTTCAACAGGAAATGTTCTCTTTTCATGTTATAAATTTATGTCCATCTAGGAAGCTCTCTTACTTTTCCTCTTAGCTCCATACTTTGTACTGTCCATGTGCTATCATTACCTGCTTGCACACTGATGCTCCCTATTGACCTAGGGCTCCGTGAAGGTCTGAGTGCCATTCCTCACATGGCACCTGACATATAAGTATTAATAAATGTTTATCATAAAGCATACAGTATAGAGTACCAAAAAAGGTGTAATAAGAAGATCTGAGAGAAACCTATTATTGTTATTACTTTTTGCTGGACCTCCAATGTTTGGAATGTTTCAAAAAATAGTTTCTGAAAGCCTTTAGGTATACAAGGAAAACAACTATTACTAAGATCCAAAATCATCTTTCACGAGGTATTTGCGTAAGGTACTCTGCCCTCTAAGGACACATAATTTAATCTAGAGAGATCTGCTGATGGTAGTGGTCATACATCAAATGGCTTCCCATGAGGAAGTCATCATGCAAAACCCTTATTAGAAATGGACATATGCTTACAATATCAGGTATTCCTGAAAGTAGAATTCCATGTAAGTAGGAAGTCATGATAGAAGGTAAATAAATACAAGTTCAACTTCAATGAGTTGGTACTAGGATTTCAGGGTCTCTCAAAGAGCGGCCTGGTGAGCTGAGTACCGGAATGTTGTAGAAGAAAGCAGAAAAATGGAAGGTATCATTAGCATTTTAGATAGGTGTAATTACATGTATTACACAGATTCATGCATTAACTTTGATGAGGGATTCCCCTCTGTATGCGATGAATATGTTTTATTACCATTAGTTAATAAAGAAGCTGCATCAGCCTATGGCAGAGCAGAATATATACAGACTGGAAGAATACAGAGAGAGAGAGAGAGAGAGAGAGAGAGAGAGAGAGAGAGAGAGAGAGAGAGAGAGAGAGAGAAAGAGTAGGAGGAGTCAGGGAGACACCATGTAGCTTCTTAAGGAGACAGACACCAGAACTTTACTTGTAGGCCACAACCTCGTGGTGATACACTGATTAATAGAAATGGGTTAATTTAAGATAGTTCATAAGAAGTCTGAGCTAATAGGCCAAACAGTGTTGTAATAATATAGTTTCTCTGTGATTATTCAGGTCTAGCTGGCCTGGAATGAACAAGCAGTCTCCACCTACGAACTTAGTTCCACTTAACAGGGGGTAAGGAGGCTCAACACCTTACTGAAAGAAGTTATTCCAAAGTCACACAGTGACCATAAATGGGGATGAGACAAAACCTAAATGTGTCTGGTTTCTAAGGCTTTCTGTTTCCAAAGAAGAGATGTCACCACATGGAAGGCATATACTTTTATATGATTATGCAAAAGAGTAAAAGGGGTCAGATGTTAGGACACAAATCATGATACCATGAGAATATTTACTTTCAAAAGAATGGCTACTATGTTTTTGACTTCCTGAAGGGTGCAGAGCAGAGAAATCATAATAACTGAATTCTCAGTTTTCAAAGGATATTGAAGGCCCCTATAATGTAATCATCTTCAAAACAGGAAAACAAAAACAAACAAACAAAACCACTTTGCTCCTCAATCTTTCTCACCTTTCCATTTGTCTTAGTGGCACAGGAGCTACTGTGTACCATATAGTATACCCTTCTGTGCAAACAGCTTTACTATGTTCACTATGTAATGTGTTGCTGGCCAGGTTCAAGGCCTCTGGCTTTCAGTACACCATGAACACTGGACCCTCACCAATACTCTTTTCAGAGTGTTGCTTCCTTGAGTCAGTTTTCTTGTTTTTTGGGTCTTTTTAAATTTACTTTTTAGTTAATACTCTTATTTATATTTATTTATCTCTATTATATTTTTGTTATTTCTTTTAAGGTTTCCCTTGAGGGGCCATTACAAGAGTGAAGGGCAGAGGGACTGGGAAATGAGTGGGATTGGAGTGCATAATGTGATATTCTTAAAGAATCAATAATAATTATGATAAAAAACTGAAGATTATAGTAATTTTAATATTTAGCATTCTGATTCTATGGTTTTAATGTTTTTTTCCTACTTATTCTATTTTATTTTGAAGAGAAATTCTAGAATATATTTAAATGGCTTGTACTTTGTTAACTACCAAAATGTATGCTAAAACAAATTTAAAAGGATTTGGTGACAGGTAACATATAAAAGATTTTTCTGAAAAAAAAAATCATCTTCAATATTTCTGCCTTCTTTTTCTTGAAACAGATCCCTGGCAGTGCACCTAGTCCCTGAGAAAACACTTGTAACTACGGGAGCTTACTACTATTTGAGATAGCTCCTTATATACTGAAACAAAGACCTTCTGTTTTAATTTCAATTTGCTCTCTCATTTTGCTTTTCGAGTCTCTCTGATACACACATTCCCTCTTTTGACTACCCTCGAGATATGCCCACGTAATCAAAACAAGCCTCTCTGGCCTTGCATTCTTAGGACCTTTATTCAGCCTCTCCTCTACAGCAGAAAAAGAGAAGAGGGAGTGAAGTAATGCTGTGTGATACAGTAACAGCAGCAGCAGTAGTTGTCGTCGTAGTAGTAATAACACTGCAGGACCAGGGCTAGGTATTAGCAGTGAATATTATACAGAAAGAGTAAGCAGTGACATTGAGAATTTAAATCCAATAAAAAAAAGGGACAATTAAGAGAGGTAGCATCAAGACTAAAATTATCCATCCATTCGTCCATCCATCCACCCACCCATCTTACATATACAGAACATCTCCCATGAGAATGAGAAACAAAGAGGAAAAGAGAAGAGAAGGTTAGGCACTTGACCTTGAGGGGCTTATACTCTACAAGGACTAATGTTAGCTAGAGTTATTAACAAGCATAGCAAATCAGCCAAATAACCAACTCTAGGGAAAATATGGGACTGCAATGGAGGTCCAGGGAGAACAGGACAGCATTTCCACAGGGTGATTCAAGTAATCAAATTCAGAAGGAGGTTTTGAGAAACCCTTGATCATTAGGAAATAAGTGGAGGAGAGATGATCACAAGGGCCCAAGAGGAGTTTCGTTTTCACACCATTGCTTTTGCTAGGGAAGCTATCTATGGAAACACTGAATGATTTAAGAAGTAGTACATTCATTCAGTAAACCATGCTCAGTGAAGCTTGACTTGATCTTTTCCTACATTAGAAGAAAGTATATGACCCTTAGGTGTGTGTGTAGTGGCGATCTTGGAACTAGATGTAGAAACCAGTCAATGTAGTCTTTGTCATTCACTTGCTATATGGTCTTAGGAAAATCATTTCACATGTCTAACTTTTAATTTACTTCATAATAAAGTAATGCTAATAGTCTCCCAGAGCATTGTGATGATCGTTGATATGAATGTAATAGCATCTAATATAGTCTGACATTAAATAATTAAATGAAGTTTAAAAAGAAATCTTTGCAATAGCAAATGAAATACATTTAAAGAATTAATATACTCTATTTACATGCTAGGCATCTATTTTGTGAAGGTTAATGAGAAGCAGGATCTTTTATGTATGGAAGACATTGGATTGACTCTCTCAAAAACTAAAATTAGTTTCCTATCCCTACTACAGGTAAGCGCTAAACAGAGATGACAATCTAGATTTCTCTTAAAAACCACCAACTAGGTGGACAAGATGGCTAGATGTGCTCCTTTTCGAGATGAAATGTGTGGCTGAATTGCCTCTTTGCTGTCCCATACCTCTTTCTGGGAAGCCCACATTTTTACCTACCTTACTGCCAGGTTTGGGACCCCTCTTCTTTGGGAATTTCAAAGGTTCAGCTGACTTGGATGGGGTAGAGGTGGGATGGGGAATAAGGATCTTGGGTGTTCGGCCCCGCTTCTTTCCTGGTTTGCGCCCCCTCTGCCCTGGCTGATGCTCCAAGACAGTTTTGGTGCTGTGGATGCTGGGCTTCTCAGTATTCACATCAGATGCAGGGGAAGGATTCTTTGGAATCACAACTGTAAGAAAAAGACTCATTCTATTATCACCCTTCCTGTATTTCCACCTGTCTTAATTAGGGTTTCTACTGTGACAAAACACAATGACCAAAAAGCAATCTGGGGAGGAAAGGGTTTATTGGGCTTATACTTTCATACTGTAGTACATCACTGAAAGAAGCCAGGACAGGATCTCAAACAGGGCAGGAACCTGGAGGCAGAAGCTGATGCAGAGGCCATGGAGGGGTGCTGCTTACTGGCTTGTTTCCCATGGCTTGCTCTGCCTTTCTTATAGAACCCAGGACCATCAGCTAAGGGGTGGTTACCACTCACAGTGGCTGGGCTCTCCTCCATCAATCACTAATTAAGAAAATGCCTTACAGCTGGATCTTATGGAGGCATCTTCTCAATTGAAGTTCCCTCCTTTCAGATGACTCTAGCTTGTATCAAGTTGACATAAGATCAGCCAAGACACTGTCCCAGACAGAAGGAAAAATAACATTTCTGTTCAGGGAGTTTGTCCTAGTTTCTTGACATTTGACCTAGATGCTTAGAAAATTACAAAATAAATTGAATTTATTTTGGCTACAATAGAAGTTTTTTTTTTTTTAAATCAGTTCTAGTAGATACAGGAAAACATTAAAGATTTCCCTAAGTATCTTAGGGAAGCATTGCGACCCAAGTTCAAGGTGAATCCTGTGGCTAGAACCAGAGGCTCACAACTGGGACAGATCTCAGGAGTCTACAGTCTTTTCTGATGAGAATTAAGATATAATAGAAGAGATGTGGTGCCTCTCCCTGGCTACTCAGTGAGGCAAGAACTTTTGTTTTCAAAGTGAACCCTGACAGCCAAGGTGACATCAATGTGGCTGAGATTTTAGCATGATTAGTGCAGTGTGTGTGTGAAACATGAAAATGGAAATCATTTCTCAACTTAAAATGTTTGCTCTTCATTAAAGTCTAAATCCTTTATTGTGATCCCCAAAAGTTCAGACTTTTGCTTTTGCCTTGCACTCTAGTTATGACTGATGTCATACACCTATCTTTATTCTAGTTGCTCTATATACTGAACTCTTCATTACTCTTAGTAAGATATGTATCAACACTTAATTTTCTTTCTTTTTTTTTTTTTTTCATTTTTCGAGACAGGATTTTTCTGTAGCCTTGGAGCCTATCTTGGAATGAGCTTTTGCACCGCCACCCAGCAATTTTCCAAGCTTAATCTAAGATCACATTCTTATTGAAGTTTTCTCTGACCAGGACACCATTAGGTCAGCACTTTTAAAGTATTCTGTGGACTACTTAATTTTATGTCATTCATTCATCTTCTCCTTAAATTTAGACCATTTAGAGATAAGGAATACCTAGTTCATTACAGAAATAATTATTGAGCACTTGCTATGGGTTATACACTGTTCTGAGTCCTGGGAATAGAACAGTGAACAGAGCAGACACAGTTTCCACTCATCAACTCAGTGGGAGAAATGAAAAGTGAACAATATTTATCAGAGTACCAGGTACTGACAAGTGCTATGATTCCTGTAGGGTAAGGATACTACATTGTTTGGGAAGCATTCTTTTAAGAGAAGAGATTTAAGCACTGTTCCAAAGAGCAAGACTACGAAGACCCCACAGAAGAGTTGTCAAAGACTGTTTTGGTAAGTCTAATGTGTAACAAATAGAAATTCTAACGTGGGAACATGTTAGTGTTTGAAGTTAGCATAGCTGGACATGAGTTTGCAATGTGGAGAATAGAGAAGAAAAGCAGTAGGGATGAACAGATCAAGCTGGGTAGCTAGCTACTAAACGCAAGAAAAGAGGGAAAAAGATAGTTTCTAACATTAATGTACATCAGTTAGACAAAAGAGCTGGCAAAGAGATTAAAGAGTGGTCCAAAAGTGAATCCAAAAGAAAATGAGTGTGAAGTCCCAGAAATCAAGAGAAGTGTTCTAGCACCTCAACCTGCTAACCAAATATCACTCCACCTGGAACACGTCCAGTCTATCTTCTAACTTGATGGACTGAGAATACCACATATTTATCATCTCAGCTTCAAATCAGTTATCTTGAGATCAGATATACCAAAATTGAGATTCAGTTAACAAAACAACTAGCCTTGTCAATGTAGAGAGAAAAATACAAGAGCTATTCTAGATTCTGAAAGTGAACATGACATGCAGTTAATGCAATATATGGTTTGGTTTAGAGCCTGGGGGAAGATATATTTTGAAAAGGAATATTAGATCAATTGATAAGATTTATATACTGATTCTGGTAATATCTGATGTCAAGTGTGGCTTGCTGAGTCACTAGAGTAGGGCATCATACACATTACTGAATAAATCAGAGGATGTATTTATCCCTATGATTTAGCAATTCCAACCACAGGTATAAATGCCAAGGAGGTTCTTGCACATATATATCAGCATATGTGTATTAATGCTCATAGTAGAATTATTTTTAATAACTGGCAAGTTTAAATGATCCAAATACTCACTATTAATAAGATGGGTCTAGGCCGGGGCACAGCTCCCTGGCAAAGCATGTGCTCATGGGCATCATGAGTCCTGGGTTTAATCTACAGCACACATACATTTAAATAAAGGAAAGGGGAATATTTTGTATGTTATGTAAGCTAAGAATGGTGGCTTATGCCTATAACACAAGCACTTGGGAAGCCAAGGAAGGTAGACTGTGGTGAGGCCAAGGTCAGTCTGAGCTACAGAATGAGACTGTCTCAAAAAGGTTATGAAGATAGTACTCATAGTGTGTGGTCTGGTGACTTCTAGGGAAACAGCTTAATTAGTGAAGTGTTTGCTGCCCAAACATTAGGATCTGAGTTTGATCTCCAGAATGTACATAAAAAGCCAGGCAAGGTGATATATGCTTGTTACCACAGTGTTGAGAAGGAAGCAGATGAATCCCTGGGACTGGCTGAGAAGTCAGCCTAGGTTAATCAGATAAGCCCTAGGCCAGTGAGAGACCTTGTTTCTAAAACCCAAGATAGTACCTGAAGAGGAATGGTAGCCAAGTTTGTCCTCTGGCCTCCAAAGTCATGAGCACACATGCATGTTCTTATTTATACATATAAACAGGCACACACACAGAGATACAAAAAGAAAAAAATAAAGGAAAAATCCTTGTATAAAGTACAAATGGTTTCTAATGGTGATCAGTGTTATTTTCATAGAAAGAACCTAACCCTCACTAAATTCAGCACTCTACTTATTTTATACCTTAGCCTGAGTAACCAAACCAGCCAAAAGGCCTCCCTTTAAACTGGTTTTTATGAGTCCCAAGACAGTGAAAGCCCATGAACCTAAGTGGGGTAGGGAGGTAAAGAATCACCCGACAGACAAGGCTCTCAGTGGGTACCTAGTACATGGCTACAGAATAGAAATGAAGCCAGATGGAGACCTTGGGGGAGGGTTGAAGGGGAGGGAAGAGGCAGGGAGGGGAGCAGATAAAAATGTAGGGCTCAATAAAAAATCTATTAAAAATATTAAAAAATAAAAAAAAGAAATGAAGCCAGATAATAAGAGAAGAGCAGTTCCCTGTCTCAGCTCTTTTCAGTAATACTAATAGTTTGCTTCTCTCTTTCCCTGAGGGTTAAGCATACATAGTGTGGTGGTACACAACTATAAAACTAGGGAAAAAGTTGCCTTCACTGGACTCAAAGATCTGGACAGAAGAAAACAATTTTATTGGACAGCTCTTAAAAACCATGTTATGCATGTCTTTTGTGAGCAACACTGAGGTGAGGCTTCAGGAGAGTTTAACAGCTTCTTAATAACTAGATTTGAAGAAGCTATCTCGAGGGAAGATCTGGAAGCTCTTCCTGTTAGGAAGCCCTGATCTGCCTTGCCACATTCTAACTTAATTATCCTGCTTGAAAAAAAAAAAAAAAAAGAAAGTAAGTAAAAAAGAATAGTATCAAGGAATTAGGGATCTAATTTTAGTTCTGTCCCTTATGATGTGACCTTGAATTTGTTATCTTTTCTCACTTTTCTAGACGTAAGTGATTAGTCAATTCATGATTGTCTTTATCAGAGAAAGATGAAACACATGAATATAATCCAACACATTTTGGTGTTACTAAGGTGGAAAGAATCAACTTCCTAATCAACAATACTTAAGTTCTTATACACTTGGGGTTCCACTTGGCCTTCATGACAATCTTGTAACACTGACAGTACCTCCTCTAACAAGTGAGGAAAGCAAGCATCATCAAGTTAAAGTGGAAGAGCTGGCCATGATTCTAGTCTTTGGTACTGTCATGTAGCCCAGAAGAAAGAAATCTCTCTCTGAATAAAAAGGAGAGCGCCAGTGAGCACCAGCATTTACCTTTCTGCTCCTGACTGTTGAGGCAATGTACCTCTCACTCCAACTAACAGCTAGAACTGCTCTCACCAACACATCTTCCTCATCAAGGAAGCCCTGGGAGCAGCAATTCATGTGCTAATTAACTTGATCATATTAACTTTTGAAAATGTAGTAAAAGCTGTCAAGGATCTACACAGAAAACAAAACAAAAACCAACGTGACTCTAAAGGATCCAGTTTCAAGAAGACTGGTAGAATTTTGCATAACAATTTGGTGGGTGTGGACGATACAAGCTGGCCTGGACATCTAGATCAGAAGGAACACATGAGTACATCACAAGAGGCTTTCACTTACTAAATGGCGGACAGCCTGAACATCTAAACAGTTGACAGTAAAGAATTATGACTAGTTAAGTAAGTAAGAATCCACGAGTTCACACTGATGTAACCAAATAACTAACTAAATAGGGGAAAGGGAAAGCTCTTATTGCATAATTCAGCTTAGAACTATGGTAATGCCATCCTAGCCTAACTTTACTTCATGTCTGCATGGTCACTTATCAGCCTTCCACCCTTTACAGCCACATTTGCCTTAGCAACCCTTCTAGGGATTGTCTATGACCTTGACCATGGCCCAAATGTTTTATGTAGTATCTGGAAAATACCACTGAGCTTTACAATAAAAGATGTTACTAGTCC